GATCGTTTAGTTTCGAATTTGCTAGGGTCAAATATACAAATGATAGACAATTTGGAAATTGAAGTTGATATTTGAGCTTCTAAATATTTACAGTTGCCATATTTCAAGTTTCAGTGGCTAGTATTGTGATTCAGTTATTAAGCAAAATTGATTCTAGTAGTGTCTGACCCATACTTTTTAAGGGAGTACCTGTCAGATTCGAATATATTTTTCTATGGAGCTAGCTCTTAAATCAGCTCTTCAATTTAAAGGGTATGCAGAAGAATTAAAAAAGTGAAAAAAGGAGCTGCATATCAACCGGTTTGGATTTTATTTTCAGACTGTGCATTGTTTAAGAAAGAAGAAACAATGTAGCATGTAACTTTAATTATTTACGTTGATATAATTTTTATAGTTTTCTAAAAGGTGTAATTTTCTATTTTTGTCATTAATTTTCACGACAAAAACATTGAAAACCACGGGCCTGTGTGCCAAAAGACTAGAAAGTGGACATGTACTCGTATTGTTAATTGTTTACTGTGAGATATATATGTTTATGTTTATTATGAAATGCATTTATTTCAGGTGTGTGATTTCAGAATTGTGTGTAAGGTTTTGACGCAATCAGTTGTTTGCCGAGAAGCCTTGAAACTGTGTATCCCCCCCCCCCCTCTAATACGAGTCGGCATAAACTATTCTCATTACTTGTACAGTCCATTATTTGTATACGGAGATGAGAAAACATTGTCCTTCCATTTGAAGAGAAATGTTAGTAAAAATGATTTGCAACAAATCAAGAATTTAAATTGGGTCCCGAGATGAACAGCTGATAAAAGTGAATGAATGTGTTATTGCTATTTTTGTTTACTATATTTTTTGTCCGCAGCTAAAAATAATTTCGGAAGCAAGAATTCCTTCCGGTTTCTATTATTTAAAGTTATTTATTGGTTCCCTTTAGTGATTCGCAGCATGTCATATTAATGAATGAGGGCGGGATTATTTGTATTTTCTACAGGTAATAACTTATTATTTTGTATATTATTTTGTAGTACATAATGGGCAATGTATGTATTGAGTTAGAAAGCTGTAAATAGATTACCTGTCCGAAAATCTATTTATAGAAGTAGTTTCGAGTTATGGTAATAAATAAAGAACTGGGGAATTTTGCAGGAATTCAATGAAATGCAAACATATTCAACAATAAATTGCACATTTTATAAATTTATCGAAAAAAATATAAGTAGGCCATTTTTTACGTATTGTTATTATATCATGGTATTATCATTTTGAAATTGTCTTTTCCGTAGTTTTTTTTCCGGTAAATTAATAGGTCCTTTATATTTTTCAGCCCTGATTGCACTTCTGACATTTTTTACCGTGAATATTAAAATCGACCTTGATTTTCCGATTTTTTGCTGTAAGAAGGTAATTCTATTTTGTTTGAAGGCATTCGGATTTACGATGTACTGTTGCCGAATACTGTGACATTTTAACAACAGAAACTATCGTCTGCAGTTTTAACATGAGGTGTTATTAGTTTATTGATACGAAAGTAAACACACTGGTTGGTCAGACGAGGATTTGGAAGTAATTCGACAAAATAGTACATTGATCTCCAAATAAATCAATTAACAATAGCTCTTTAATTATCACCAATGTCAAATAGCTTTTATATCTTTGACTCGCAGATGAATATGATGTTGGTGAATTTCCTCATACCTGTCTAAAATTCAGGTAACAAGTCTCCCATTTTTTTAATTGGGGACCATACGCCGCTTTTCATGGAATGGCACTAACGTGTCACATTGAAGGTTCCGTGTTAATCGCCGTATGAACACAACTGCGGTTGTTTTTAAATTAAATATTTCACCATTTTCATATTCTGCTTAAGCCGGTGCTAGGTGGCGTGGACGGTAGTTTGCACTTGACAGTACCGTCCATGAACAAGCTCAGTCAAACCGAGCCTGCAACATTTTCAATTTTGCCGTGTTGGGCTTTTTTTAGGTATTCTTGTTTTTTTTTTCTATTTTTTCCATTGATAAATAATTTTTCACCATATTAACATGCCATGCAAATTTATATCTGGTCATCAGATGTCTACTTGTTCATTTTCACTTGCTGCATGTCTTGCTTGGACGCCATTTGATACTTTGCATCAATGCCTTTCTTGTTATATCACGATATACCATTTGCCGCGAAACAAGTAAAAGACATCTTGAAAAATAAAGTCGATGAAACTTTTTGTTTTGGCTTATGTACATATGGATTTTTATATTTTGACCATGATTAGTTGTTGATATTTGTAGAAAATGAATACCATTGTAGGTGAAAAAAAAGTACATGCTTTGATATTTTTTTTATCTCATCTAATATTACTGACTACAGTAGTGACACAAACAGAACAATTCTGCACTACTGTCATGTCACACTACATTTACAATTACTTTCCTTACCAGGTAGGCATCAGTGACAGAATATTTTTTTTAATTTAATACGAAAAGTATAATTATGCACATTCAAATGATTTACAAAACATCCGGAATAAGGTACAATAGTACTTAATCTAAATAGACAATGACCTATGCGCAGGAATGATTTGGTAACATATCTGTTATGTGCGCATTTTTTTGCGCGGAGCTTCTCCATTGCTGCGTTGCAGCAATATTTGTACTTGTTGAACTTATATGTTTATTGAAAACTCGCAAAATAAATCGTGACACTCCGCAGTAAATCCTCCGTCTTAAAAATAATTCAAGACTCGCCTGCGAAATAAATTAGTTTCCTTTTAACATATTCAAGGTAAATAAAGATTTTATCTATAAAACTCCACTACATTTAATGTATCAAAACCGATGAAAGAAATGTGTGAGCATAAAACCAATAGTTTTTCGAAAAGATATGTAAGGTGTCATGTCTTCACATTCAATTTGTCACGAATTCGCCTTGTTGAAAGCATGCAATGCTTTTGACATACTCGTAAACAACCAGACCCGCTTTTGTGCGACTCATTATAAATTGCGAGCACATTGATTGTTTGTTTTCTCAATTTCGGGATAAACAAGTGGTTCTTTTAAGTACAAAGTAGAAAGCATCATTTCCTTGGCACAGTCGCATTTCGGCTCCCCAGCTCCCCATATTGCGACGGCCTATAAGAGTAATTTATTGTTATCGGGGATATGCATGCTACAGCAGTTGGCTCTTTTACATGGCCCGTGTAGGGTAACGATCTACTGAACCTCGAGTATTTAAGTATTCTGCGAAAAGCCATAAATATTGCTAGTCTTGGAGTCGGGGATAAGATCTATTTACCCTGCATTATTTGGCGCCGTAAGCGGAAGTTGCTATACCATGCTTTTATATCATTCAGAGATCAATGCTGATTAACACATCCTAAGTTTTGCGAAAAAGAGCCGAAAAATGCGATTGATAATCACACACCTTTTTTCGAATAAAAATATACATTGTATATATGAACGGAACAACAACCAAAACAGATTAATGTTGTCTATGTATAACTCTCTTATTCGATGATGAACTCTTTTTAGTTATTTGATGTCCACCGCTGAATAATATTAAGTTTTTGTCCACGTATTGTAAAGATCTTTAATTTTCCTTATACACCAAATTACAATTTGTATTAGTTTCAAAGGAAAAGAATAATTAACGTTTTCTTGAGGGTGTCAATGGAGTAGCCCGTATGGGTTTCGTGTGGCGAATTTAACCGGGTATACTTCTGTCATACTGGAGCACGCAAAGACGCTTCGATCTTTCGACTCGTTAAAGACTTATTTTATAAAGGAAACATCTTAATATATATTCCTTTGATTAGTTTCATTTAGAGTGAAAAATGTTTGTTCACAAAAATTTGACCTAGAAACTAAGATATTTGCATTTGAACATTTAGGTGACAATCAGTTTATAAATGCCACAACATGGATTTCAGTCAAAGCTAAAGTGTAATTTATTTATTTTTTAAAAAGCAAACATGCATGGGAAGTGTGATTTGTGTTTAAAGTTTTCGTTATCAGTATAAGGATATTTTGTTTTTCTAACGAGCGGCACCGCACAGGGTAAATGTAATCGACAGTGTAAATGAATGTGCAATTGATTATAGATGGAGCTTGGGTTTTTTGAGAAACCGATTTGGAAGTTACTTGTTATAAAATGAATGTTAAAAACTTGCACCAATTGCTGTTATCTTAAGTTTAATAATGGTCCCAGTTAAACGAATCATCTCTAAATGCCTTGAACGAATATAATAGTTTTTATCGTACATAAATTATAAACATGGTACATGTAAGGGAATACATTGGGGAGTATTGGCCACACTTGTCGATAATGTACTCGTGCATGTATGCGCCATAAACATTAACTTGTTATCCGAAGTTTAATTTTCTTCTTTATCCTTTGGTTATATGTACATGTATTGTATTCATTTTAATACATTCATATAAATGTTGATAACTTTGTTTTATACATAACCCAACACTTTACATTTCTATATCAAACAATTACATGTACACATGAATAAATTATGTTACAACATTATGACATTATTTGGCTGGTATAAAGAGAAAAAAGTTGACAAAAACCTTCCAAATACGATTTTAAAGTCGGATGTTAGTAACGTTTTCTACCTGTTTTATGTCCTTTGGATGACACAAGATTTCTTTCTTCGGGCCTTTGATCAAAGCTTACTTTGAGCACACACTTTGTTTATTCAATTTTTTTCTGGTGAATTACCTAGGGAATATTTATACGATTAAACTGCATCAGCACAAAGCAATACATTATTATCTTATTGTCCATTATATATTTAGATGGCTATCAATCGAATTATGATCACGGAAGTAGAGTAATGAAAACACAGAAGACACCGGAATATTTAGACGTGGAGTTGTTGGGACATATGATAATGCTAACGGATGTTTAACACCGCTCAGCTAAGACTGCACAAAGGTAGTAAATATGGTTATGCAATTTATTTCTTAGTTGCTGGGTTAATACAATGGACATGGAAACTTCATGTATGGTTTATTGGCATTTTATTGGTTTCAATAACCAAATGATATAAACAAAGCAGACTACAGGTGAAACAAAAATATCTAAAAAAATATTCAAATAAGCAGGAAAAACATGGGATTTTCAACTATAAATTAGGAGTTTGATTAAATACTTTCAGCATCAGATACATTTAAGATCATCAGTTCATGTCAGAAACTAGATATTAGACTTAAAGATGCATACAACGTGCTTTTATCGTATTCACAGGAGATAATTTCATGAAATAAACAACAAAAGTTAAGCCTTTATAGAGCCTGGATAAAAATCTAAGATCATTGTCATAACTTTACAACACACTCTATATATGTTTTTATTGCATACATAGCAATTTTACAATGATACTTCAGAGCTATACAAAATATATTCTCGAACATTGTAAAGGGATAATGTTAACAAAATTATACGTCCGTTAATCGGTTTTTAAAAGAATACCGGTGAATGAGGACATTCCATAAATAATTGTTTTTTTATTGATAGTATGATGATCTCCTAACAAAATATCAATATATATTTTGTCACCGATTTCTGCATGAACTACAACCGTGTCCGATCCGCTGTTGATAACCTTTCCATTAATTATGATAACCGTTGCTATAATTGTTTTATTTTGAATCATTCTCAACATTATATTTTCAACATCATTCGAGAAAACGTTCAAGTAAAACAAGTAAAGCCCGCTCACTGGACAATGGAAAATTCCCGTAGTTGTATTGTATGCATTGCCAATATTTGTGATGACCTTAACAAACTTTAATACGGCCAACGTCCGATTGAACGTTTCAATATTGTGTTGTAGTTCTCCAGAAAAGGCAACTTGGCGTCCATTTTTGTTTACTACGGCTGCAACAGAAAGAAATTGCATTGGAATTGAATTAAGACACGTTTAAGCATGAACTATTATATATAATGAATATGTGCATGTAACAGATGCTTATAATATAAGGAATATCTCACAATAATTTATACATAACGATTGAATACCGCCGCATGAAGTAATAATTTCCAAATGGCGACTTACTTGGATGGTGTTATGACTATCCTATGGAATTTGAATTATAGTACCGTTGCAATTTTACTTTGTTTTAGGTGTTTTTAAAACCTTTGAGCCATTAGAAATTTAGGATAGGAAATTACCAATAAGATTGCACTTAGCATGAATTTCTGCGAATCATAAATGGTCAGGAATTCCCATCCTGAAATGAGTAAATCGGATCAACTATAGATAACAATTGCAGTTGTTTGGATTATTGTCGCCCTGTTATTGTCGTCCCGTATACTACTTGTAGGCAACCCGTGTACCTAGAAGTATACTAGATATACCCCGACTCTCTCGAAAAAATACTTTTTGAATCCGTATTTTAACGCTATTTTACATAGTTTTATCAATTATATACATAGCAGTATATTTTTTAACAAATGTAAACTTTTTTTAAAAAATTCTGATCATAATCAACCTTTTTGTGCATCGAACACATTTTTGTGATGTCATGAAAATGGATGAATATAAGCAACAAATATAATAAACAACAGTAGAGCAGATTGACTTGGGACTATATTTGTTGGCGTAAGGGCTTACAGCCAAGCAACAATGGAAACGAAAGGGAGGAATGTAAGAAGGAATGCTGATAGAATTGTTGAAATTTACGTAAGATATTTTACTACATTATTTTTGGCGAGTTTCAAACAAATGAAATGAGTCGACGAAATGTTGAAACGGATTAGAGGCTGAAACTCTGTAGGGGGCAATTATACGGGATAACACGAAAAAGTAATAAAATAAGACTTCTTTGGAAAATAAAGTAATTGCCCGAATTTCATTCTAGTATAGCGTGTAATGGAAATTCAATTGCATTACTGCTCGGCATCGCCATTTCATACCGCTAATAAGTCTTCGAATGATTTGCACATTATGGATTCGAGACTACACATCTAGCGGTGTCTGTTGAAGCTCTAGAATCGTGGTTAGCTGGACTAATCGAACATATATTGCATTCTTCAGCATGTCAATTGGATTAAAGTAAATGGTTAGCAACACATATGTTGTGAAACGCTTACTGGACGATCTCTTTACCGAGAGTCGTGTATCATTGAAGTCCACACAAAACCTGGATTCGTCAGTGAACAAGTACTGACGTTGAGAAGTTACACCCATGGTAACACATCAAAATGAAATTCAACATTTTGATCTTCATCATTTGAACGTAAACGTTTTTCTATTGTTGTTGTTTTATTGGTTTAAAGTTGCATGCACTCTGTAAACGTCTTATGGCTAATTTTCAGCTTTACTGTTGGGCAGCCTGCGCATCCGCGCAGTCTGATCAGGATCCATGCTGTTCCCTATCAGTTTCTCTACTTGTTATAGGGTATATAAGCGAACAGCATGGATCATGATCAGACTGCATCCAATCGGTGCATTATTAAGGCACGAACGGGCACTTGAGTAGAACCACCGACGTTCCGTAGGCTAGCTTGGTAGCTTCCTTACATGAAAGAATTCAAAGTTCTTGCGAGATTCGGACCTACAGCGGTGAAGGACAAGTGATTTGAAGTCAACGACATTAAGCACTCGGCCACGGATGTAACATAATTATGTATACAGCCAATTGATCTCATTAAGTATGCGTAAACAGTTTGTCCTTTTTGACATCAAACATTAATGAGATTGTAAATGCGTTGGACTATTCTTAACAAAGAGATAAAAAGAATCTATTAATTCGAAATAGAAATAGGAACTTGCAGTAGCAAATTCCTGCTTACATAAATCTGACCCACCCCATTAACACTTGGAAAAGAACTAATACTGCTCATACAGAAAAAAACAAACTTACCAGAGTTGTTTGTAAGTGCTTGTACCTGTTCTTCTAGCTTTTGAAGTTTGGTCTCTAATTGAAGTCTCATAGACTGTTCGTTTGATATGAGCTTCAAAAGAGTTGACACGTCAGAGTTCGAAATATTTCCTGACACTACAAACGCGTTCGTCGACGTGAGACCTACTGCAAAAACAATCAACGCCAAAAAAGACATTTTCATGAGAAGTGTTTCAGTTAAATATCGGAATAATTTAGAAAACTAAAATGTCTACTGTGGGTTTTATATCATAAACTAATACAGTACATACCGTCTTTACTGGCCTTAACGTATATATAATTAAGTCAGTCTGAACACTTTTCATGGGTTTATGGGCGTATAGTTAGGTATATATTGGCATTTAATTGACGACGAATGAAATAATAACTTGAATTTCATAAAAATTCGGAGACATCTTTAAGCTCTATTCCAATTCTTATGGAAATGCATCAACCCGAGATTCGTAAAGATGCGGAATACTTCGCTACTTTCCGTCGTTTTTTGTGATCAAATGAACATCAATATGTTCTTGAACAGCAACTATCAACAATTTATAATAACATTCATGCTTAAACATTCCTTCTCATTTTAACTGTTTGTATATCTAATTGTTAAATAAATCATCCCAAAATGTTTGATGTTTACATTACTTAATGAGTTTTTTACTGTAAAGAATACTTAAATTCATATAAGGACACACTGTAACATATAATGAATTATCGGTGATCGTGGTGGATCATAATTATTGTGATAAAGTATACAGATATTGCGCTGTATATTCATTGTAAATTTCATATCTAAATAAGCTCATTAATTCATCGGGAAGAAATTTGAATTATGAATCAACTGGGGCTACAAAAAAATCCTTGATTAACGGCTGCTCATTCATTGAATGTTTAACTGTATTTAATGTTTACAACTGCGTAATTATCTAAAATTGTATCACAAAAAGCTTATGTAAACGATAACCTAAATTCCAGTTCTTCTAGCTTACACTAAAATGTATTCATGTACGATTCAATGTCCTATCGTAAATCGTATAAATATATACATGCACAGTGCGTTAACTGGAGTGCAGATATTAGTTTTCCGCACTCCAGAGCATACCCATTGATTGGCTCATTTTTTTCTTGGGTTTACATATTGTGACGGAAGAGAAAGGGAAAGCGATAGAAATATTACATTCAGCTGATCGTTCATTGGTTACTTTTTTCTGGGGTTTCACAACAGGGAACGTGTTTTGTTTTTTGACTATGATTCAAAAGAGAAAGAACGTGATCTGATTTATACTTGGAGGCTACGCCCCTCGTACAAACCAGATACCAAACCATAAGCATCTTAAAAAGATACTCGGACGAAGTTAAACTGCTTTTACTTGCAAAGGTTATTTCGAATTTTTGTAATAGCATTTAATTTTTAGATCTAGGTAATACTGCAAGATATGTTTCTATATGGAAATATCGTGTTTTTTGACTAACGTATTTCATGTACACATTAATATATGTTTTATTAATATGCAAAATATATCGAAATTTTGAAAATATTATGAAAAATCATATATTACGAACACTGAACATAATCTACTGGTATCTAGGAATGCACACGTGAAATGTGTTGGTATTCGACAATTTGGACTAAAAATAGATTATCATTTGTAACACGATAAGTCTTATCCACTATTCCACTATCAATGAAACAATTCTTACGCCAGGCCGCCAACTTCACACATCTTAAGAAGATCTCGGTCAGAGACTTTAACTAAAAAATTTGTTACGATACCTCTTGAGACTATTTTATAATTTAAAAGTGTAAACGTTTCAGAACGATTCTTTATATCACATGATTATACTAATTTTACAATGGCCAATGAGATTGTCAGATTTCACTTTGTAATTTTATAATGTCTTATAAAAAACCTAATCACTTCATTTACAGCAAATCAAGCCGTTCTCAGACGGACTTTGTCCGGAAAAAAACTAAATCACACCAAGTTCTTGCTTTTAGTATTACTTTGTATAGGTAACCCAGTTTGTTTCATAGATATTGAATAACAAATATCAACTCAACTCAACTCAAATAATTTTATTAGCATAAAACAAATAACAAGTTTATAGCCATACAAAATATAACAAGTACGTTCAGTTATAATGGAAATACAGGCATGTTTATATAATTTACAGAAGAGTACTACAAAGACAAACACATAGTATTTTTTTCCTAAACATTTTACAAGGTAAGATTTTGTGTGATTACACAAACATAACATTAACATTTACAATATTATAAGGCAATGCTGCGTGAAGTTTAAGGAAAAGAAAGATAACTATACAGTATAATGATGAATATTGGTGTTTATCTATGTATAATTAAATAAAAGCACTTCATACAAATGAAATTATGATTGGGAGACACGTAGTTTGTTGCAAAATGTATGAATTTCGATAAACTTATAATAGTTGCATTTGATGTAGAAGACATATGATTTCTAAATTTTGTTAGCGTAGGCCAATGACAAGAATAGTTCTTCTTAGTTCTCTGTATTTAGGGCAAACTAACAGAAAATGATATTCATTCTCTAATATATTCATGTTGCATAATAAACAGTCCCTTTGATCTCGCGGTACATTGTCTATGAGAAGAGGTTCTGAAGCGGGCTAAAGCGTTTTTAAATCTTTCGTCAGTTATAACTTCCAAATACCGTTCTCATTCGAAAGCGTGTTTGAATTCTAAACGTCTAAATATAACCACCTCTGAATACCATCTTTGGAGAAAATATTTAAAACAAAACCTAAAACACATAGATAATTAATGATTTTCATTTAATGATCGAACATGCAATATATCAACCAAAATCAGGAATTATGATATACATGTCCTTCATATTTTAGAGTTACATTTTAAATCAGGAAGTAAACAAATTCAAATAATTTCAAGTCTTATACGGCATTTGAAATTAGTTAAGAGATATCGTATGCCCATTTTATACACCAAAATGAATTTCGGCGAATATTCTTGTTCCATTCGTCTGTCCGTCCGTCTGTTAGAAGTACACTGTTCGTTCTGTATCTTTTGAAACGATAGAGTGAAATAGAAACTTCTTGGCAGAAATGTAAAGCATATTGAGGCGATGTGCATAGCATATGATTGACCGTCCCGAGTTCAAGGTCACACTTTTTATTCAGTCAATATTAATAAATAGTATATACTCGTATATATCGCATGAATCACTAGATAAAGTACATGTTTTAGGTCAAATCTATGCGACCAGCACCTTTTCTTCGTACAAACATGTTTTCGGAGGGACGGTACATGTATGGCGAAAATATGCAAGTTTTCGTGTTTTCGCCTTCTCTTTGTCTTATATTCCTTGACAGACTAAAGGCTATAAACACGAGATACGAAAAAGCGTGACTTTTCCGTGCGTTTGACCGTTCGTTGGTGTTTCCAAAGACAACCAGAAATTAATCTCTTTTCTGCGACTTATCAAATAATAGATAAATACAGAATCCCTAAAGAAAGCCCAACACGGCAAAATTGAAAATGTTGCAGGCTCGGTTTGATTGAGCCTGTTCATGGACGGTACTGTAAAGTGCAAGTTACCGTCCACGCCCCCTAGCACCGGCTTAAGCAGAATTCAACATTTAACATGAACTGGTAAAATTTAGAATTTTGAAACATCCGCAGATGTGTTCATATGGCGGTTAAAGACTGTTTAGATTTTATTAGGGTCATCAGATTCAGAAATTATCCCAGAAGAAATTAAGGGTCCTTTGACATGCAAAATGTAAAGCAATATTACACTGAACGTCGGTTTACAAAGTCTCATAACAAATTGCAAGTACTTTTAGTTGGAGAAGCACGAATATCAAGCACGTCATCCCTGCATTTGAAGTCAAAGAATGCTACAACTAGACCAGTGCGCCACCTCTACATTTATAGATATTTTGCTATGGTTTAAATATTGTCGTGTTTGGTCACCCATATTGTGACCCTCCTGTAAAGTTAAGTCTTCTTATCAAGGCATCACAGATTAAGCAGTTACTCCCCTTTCACTTGGCGAGATATGGCTCTTTTTATGCCCGGTGTAGGGTACAAACCCATATAAACCCAAACCCGTTTAATATACCATTCAAAAAACCATGAGTATTAGACAAAGCGAACCAGCAACCCATGCATTCCCGGGCGGTCGTTGCTATGTCATGCTTATACCATTTATTCAGAACACCTTGCCTTTATATCATTCATTTAGAACACATTGTCGTTATATCATTCATTCAGTACACATTGCCTTTATATCATTCATTCAGAACACCTTGCTTATTACCATCATCTATTTCCGAAGTCTGACGGAAAGAGCCAAACTGTTGCGAGTGATGATAACAACCCATTTTCAAAAAAAAAAATCAAATGTCATTGAATAAAACAACTAGAACAAATTCTATCTTTAGTAGTTTATTTTAGTTTGCTGTCGTTTTTTGTTGTTGTTTTCGATCCAAAGATAACAGAGACTGATATATTATAAGATAATGTGCACATTATATCTTGTTTACTGAAAACAATAAGGTTTTTGTCTATTTTGTAGTAAAATCTTAAATATTCCCCTCACATTGAATACAATCAGATTTACTATCCCTAAAGAATTTTATCTCGGCCAATCTGGACAGGCAGGCAATCCAGGAAGCAATGAAATTTATCCTTATGAACGTTTTTTTTTTTCAGCATGATAATTACATTTGATTTCACATGTTATATAAATCTCTTTAGATTTTTTAAATGAACTATTTCAAAAAGAGTAATGAAGATCATGTGTCTTATTTTTACAATCATCATCTAAATGATGTTCGAGTCCGACGTGATCGCAAGGGTATTCTTTAAAATCGTCTTTTACATATTTTTTATCGCAATCTTGACCGCAAAGCTTAAAGCTTTTCTTTTTTTTTCATTAAAATCTATTTCATATATTTATTTTTACTTTTCACCGTCAATTGACTCAGAACTGTCTATGAACTTTTACTAAATTTCTATGTAGGGCGACTATGAATTAACTTTAACAAAATATGTTGATATTCTTTAACAAAATATGTTGATATTTGTGCACAAGTTTGGTTTTTTTTGTTTTTTTTTTTTCGTTATCGGCCTCAATTTGATGATTTTAATCCATTTTACCCGGTAATTATCCACTACTCATGTAAAAAGGTTCTTAAAATTTAAACGGTTCCAGTTCAATGAGCACATAGTAAAATGGATGGAATTCGAACATTCCTTACAATAACATTTGTTGTTGATTTGTTATAATATGTATAATATGGACGTTTTTTTTAAACGTATGCCCGGCGAAATATTTGCAAGTGTTTAAGGCATAAGCTTCTATTCAAATATTTTTGTAACTAGTTTTGTATAATATCATCCCATTTAAGTGAGAATAACGAACACTTAAAATATCTTTTAAAAGATTTTATCTTTAACTGTATTTATTTTCCTTACTTCAGGATTCAATCACTTGTTTTGTTTCAAAGAATGCGATCTCAAGATTACATAATGTTTAAAACAAGAAAACACGCACGCATTTTCTTCTTAAAAAATATTATTCTTTTACTTGATGGCCACACCTGAACAATATTAGTTGTTTGTATAAGTATAAATGGTAATACTTGCATTTTTTTTTTAAAAATATGACAAATATATGACAAATTTTCTGCGAAAATTGTTTTCAACATTTGAACTGTACTGTTCCATTTAATTGTATGAACATAAAAGATTAGTTTCAATAATACAGTAACGCAAAGTACTATCAGAAACAGATGGCATAGTGGGCTTAATTTTAACACTGGCTATCCCACCCCTCAACCCACACCTCCCTACAAATCCAGAGTTCGATATCACCGATGGCCAGAGATTATTTGAATTGGAAACTGAGGACCTTAATGTAATGCTGCTGCCATTCTAATTAATTTCTCCAAAAATCTTGGGTTGAATTGCTGATAGATACTGTAAAAAATACCAGATCACTTTGGCCTCTTTGAAATTTTTCTGCAGCTCTTGCGCGAGACGCTTTCCTCATTTAGTTCATCATGAGCTTGATTAACTTCGTGAATTTTATATTTTCCACACCAGTCTCGTGTTTTTTCCTCACTCAGTTTCTTTCATAGTAAGACAAAATGGCGAATTTATATAATGGGATTTTTTCTATTAAGGATAAATATTAGGGGTATCACGTTTATCCGTTTAATAGGGTTCAGTCGGTTTTTAGTCTAAAACCGGTCAGAAAATTCACTTATCGGTTATCGAACTTAGTATTAGACCAATAGCCAAAGAATTTGAGGAATGATTTTAAATATTTCATTTCTTTTACTTTGACAAGATATGACGTTTTGGTATTAATATCTTGAAATAAAAAAAAAAAGTTCTGTAACACTCAGGCAACCGCTAGTTTAGATATTTTAACTGCATACCATTCTTAAACATGTATATAATGTATATATTAGTAAGTTTCAAATTTGCATGCAACATTTTCATAACTATTTCATATCTATGAAAAAAGTAAACACTATTTTAATGCTAATCGTGAAATCACATTTCTAAAATGATTTGGTTTCTTTATACAGTAAAGTACTTCAAAATAATTTTCGGCGTCACTTATAGAACATGATTTATTACAAGCCCATCTCCGTGACCTATTATATGTCCCCCGGACGGAGCAACACTTCTTTTCTTTTTGCAGGCCTTTCTTTTATATGTACAGGTTTATCTTTTTTCAAAAAATACTATAAAAGTGATGTGTTACTTCCTTTGAGACAAAGCACATACCTAACGTTGACAAACTTCTTAAAATCATGACATATAATTCAATTGGAGTTTTTCTGTTTGTATTGCTTGCTGGATCCAACGCTTCTGTCGAGCATGAAAATGACCTAACACGTGAGTAATGTTTTTTCTCTAATTTCTAACTTACAAAACAATGAGTATAGGTCAAAGAAGACGATTGAACATAATTTCAGCGACGCCAAAAGTCCTTATTTGTTAATAAAACGATAGATCATGCTATGTCACTTAGCTTATCAAGAACTGTTAATGTCTTCCAGATTTAAGGATATGAATAATTTGTAATAATTACTTATCACATATAAATATTTGCGTTAACTTGAATATGAACATATATGTACCTCTGTATGCTTCAAAATGGCAATTTTTATAATATTGATCATTAAGTGTTTTCATAATGGTCTTGTTCTTGGGCTGAAGACTGACAAGTAAACCTGAGGCCAAAGGCCGAAGACTGATATAACAGTCAAAACCCCAATAACAAGGTCATTATAAAAACACTTAACTATTGGCACTACAAATAATCTAAAAAAGTTAAGTACTTAGTGAATAAAAAATAACTTAATGAAATTCCGTTGTTGTGAGATATTGCAAATGAGACCCTTTTCAGTGAAAAAAAAACCAGATTCATAATGCCCGGGATGGGAAGCCAATAAAAATTCTCCAATCTCATAATAACCGAGTTTTCTCATAAAGGCCGTACTTTTTTGCATAATGCCGTGGTGTACTTCATATTAGCCTTATATTTGAAGTGAAAACTTGCCTTATACTGAAAACTTAATTAATAATTTTTTAAATTCTGCATGTATAATAATGCTAGGGGATATCAAGCAGTAGCATCCAAACCGAGCCTACAGATTTTTGTTCTTTCTTTGCGTCTTTTAAGGTTACATTAGTTTCACATAATTTAAGATTAGTTTAGTACTTAATTTCGATTCTATATATTCGCATGTGGAAAATTTAAAAAGTTTATTTGAAAAATAATGTTCATTCAACTCTGATCTTTTATCGGTCTTGTCTGCTAGGGTACTAAGTGAAACAATTAACAACCGTGTACGAGTGCAAAAAGTTTGCTTATAAATGTACAAATCGTCATCTTGGTACAGTAACAGGTTATATTAATAGGAGTTATTTCGTTATTGCATAAGTTTATGATTTGTTGAATGTAACGGATGGGGCACACATAAAATAACGTTTCCGATATTTTTCACTTGAATCTAGATGATGGTACATCAAGAAAGATGGACGATTCCGCCATTGTGGCAAAGTTTAGACAACTAGAAAACCAGATCAAACTTCTTGAAGAAAAACTTAGCACTGTAACATGTAAGTTGAAATTTATTTCCTTTCATGTTAAGATTATTATGATTGCAAATATATGCACAAAGATTTAACACTGTAAAATAACAATGTACTGTAATTAGATTGATATTATTTGTTTTTAGATTTACTTGCTGTATGATTGGCATTCCATTTTTTAATATCTTGTAATCTTGTTGCTGACTTTTTTAGATATAGATCATCATTGGTCAATGAAAATTATTCTTTTTCTTGTAGCCAAACCGATACCAGATAACAGACAGATCGCTTTCTCCGGTACACTCAGCCGAAGAATTCCGAGGTCAGAATTTGGACAGATCGTAAAATTTGATGTTGTCACGACAAACATAGGAAACGCCTATGACGTAACAACAGGAATTTTCCAGTGTCCAGTATCTGGGTTATATCTGATATCAACCACCGTGCTTGGGGACAAGGACGCTTCTGCGATTGTGGAAACTCGACAAAATGGTAAACTGATCGCAAGGCCGCACTCGGGAGAAGGCGGATATGGCCACAAATCTGGGACAGATACAACTGTCATCCATGCAAATAAAGACGACAAAATTTCATCAAAAGTCATAGGTGGCTGGACTGCTTTTCTCGACCAATTTTCTAGGTTTACAGCAGTACTTTTGAAAACTGACTAAAAACAAACAGATTTTACAACAAAAACACTAACATAATGTAAGAATTGCAACCATCACGTATCAATATACTTTTATTGTTGATAAGTTCAGAAAAAAGATGACAATTTTTTTTCTGTAATTTTACTTATTGGGCGCTGATTGTACCGTTAGTGTAGCTTGTTGTTTGCTTTCAAACGAAATAAAAACATATGATTACATGTGTGTACAGTGTCACTTTATTCGCTCCGTAAATTTTGATGAAATTATTTCCTACATGGCTAACCTTTCTGTAAAACATTTGTCATTTATTTGGTATGATTTTAAGGCGTATTATACAGGAATGCTCCTATTTACAAAAAATTTACGTTTAAAAATGGCTTAAATTTTCCAATTCTATCAAAAATTATACGTAAGTCTTTCTGCCATAGACTTCGCTTTTTCATACAAGAAAGCAATCCTTGTAGCTTGATTATATACTTAGATGAAAGCGTGGCACGAAATATTGAACAGAGGGAATATCTGATTTATTAAATCTTGAAAGTTGCCATATGACTTTTACGTAACATAAAATCCAAAAAACATAAGTCTCACCAAAAATATTTTGTCAAATTTATTTTCAATATACAATATGTATTGCAATATACTTACAAATAATATGAAGAAACAGTGGATGTATACGCAACACAAATAAAGTAGGATGAGCACGTCCTTTAAACATTAATTATCAAAACATGTTACTGGTTTTTTCGTCTTGGTGTGTACTCCTGAGAGAAGCACTATGGTATATGAATTTAAGATTGACCCTGATAATGAAATACTATGTTATAGTAACATTAAGGTATTGTATCACAATTAAGGTATTGTTCTGCAAAGAATACCTATATACTATTTTGTGCATTTCAATAATTGGGCTAGAGAATTGTCAAGTTATATTTTAATGTATCCATTTTGTTTAGCTTTGAATTTTCTGTAAATAACGATTCCAATAAATGAAATCGAATAAAATATACTTAGAATAATTGACACTTGGAACAGTAAATCGTAATTTCCAGTTGTCTCTGACGTGTACCCGCCGAAGTAACCTCCGAGGAAATTCCCAACTCCTTTTAATACATTCCATGTGGCGAATGACGGCGCGTAATCTTCCGTTCCGTAGATTTCGTACATAGCAACGGCTACGTGTGCATAGATGTTACCTATACATAGCCCGTTGATTAACGACGCGGCAAGAAGTCCGGCGTACGTGTCAACATACACTACAAGACCATGTGACACGGCCGTGACCAGAATCCAGTATCCCATATGAGTTGCACTACTAATTTTACACATGACCTTTGACACGGATCCCATTAGTCCACCAATGAGGTTAGTAACGCCAATCATAGATATGAAAAACGAGCCGACTTGGCGTTCAAAACCTTTCAGTTCCACAAGATCAACAATAAAACGGCTTTCTGCAAGAGCAGTGAATGCTAAAATCACAGAATTCAATAATAGTAACCAAAATAATTTCTCTTTAAACAATGAAAATTTAAACAAGCTCTGTTTTGCAGACGCTGACGTTTTGTTGGTGACATCCTTTGATGAATACCGTTGAGCAATGACCATCAACATTCCACATGGAACGGCGTTTAGACAAATAGCACCAATCACCATTAGAGCCCCATTCCAGTTATACGCTTCAATGCAAAGTTCCATAAAATAAGACATGGTAAACTGACCTAAACTTGAGCCTATTGAAACAAAACCGATCACCGCCGCTTTTTGGTTGTCAAAAATATCTCCGGCGACGACGAATGGTCCCATGTACACAATTCCAAAAGACGCACCAGACATGATTCCGACGAGAATTATAATCGTTGGCACATTTACTGCTAGAGAACTAACCGCCACACAAATACTGCCGACGACACCGCCAATAATAATACAGTAACCATATCCTATCTTCGACACTGGGAAACTCCAAAGAGCACCACCCACGGCCAGTAAAGCTTCGAAGAAACTTTGGTTAAGTGCAACTAATGAACGGTCTGCCTCAAACACCCGAATCAACTGCGCGTATAGAACGCTTAAACTGTACCCAAATCCCATTGATATCAAAATTGAAACCAAACACGCAAATACAACTAAAAGTTTTATCACAAAAGGTACCTCGTTATTTGATACGTTATGTCCTTCTTCTGTTGAATTGTCACTTATTTTGTCGTTATATTCAAATGACAAATTCTCTACAAACGCTTTTTCTCTTTCTCTCCAGCTTGAAGACGCTTCCGCAGCATTGTACATGACAGGCTCAGGCCATTCCTTCTCGATGTCTACGCCATTCTCCTCTTCTTTACCACTGTCAGTATAATGTTCGAATTCCGAAGATAACAAGCGACGTTTCTCCTCTGACATTTCTAACGTTATTGATTCAAAATTATCCGATGTTCGCACAAAAAACAAACGTGCTCAAAAGTATTATTTCTTTATAAAATCAGCGCTCCTAGGAAATAATCGTGTTCTGGTATAAGTCAATTTATTTATGACAGTTTCAACAACTATATAGCGTTCTTTGTCCTTGTTTTAAACAATTTATTTTATTCAGAATTTATCTAACCGTAAGCAGTTTAATAACAAGTTTTGTTCTTATTACATATTGCGCTCGATGCTAACCAAAGTGTACAAATATATGACACAGTATGGTTACGCCAAGGAAAGGAACGTGTATTGAAGTACTTAAATATTTCATAATCTAAGTTAATATATTCGACGTCATTCATACAGCTGTGATGATCCATACGAAATTTGTTTAATTCGATACTTGTTTACTCGAACTTTAGGAAAACAACTGAGGATTTCATCATAGGAATTGCAATCACCTGTTTCAGTTTTTAATAGATTCAAGTTTAAAGTTTATTGGTGAATCGACAATGAATATTATCAATGGCCATTTACACACATACATTATGTATATGGCAGACAATTTACATTGATATTAATATAAACAGTTACATATATATATTTTTTAAACATAATTATACAACTTAAGAAAAAACACAGAAATATACAATTTAATCAACATTTATTTTAAACATCAAAGATAAATATTTATTTATTTGTTAAAAAGCGATAAGGAATTCCAAATAATTGTTTCCACGTTTCATCCTCTCATCTATAAATTTCGCTATTTTCTCAAAAGAACTTATTTATGGCGTCTAATAAGGTACATGTAACTCATAAACTTGTCTTCTGCTGGAGATCAAAATACCGCGTTTTTTTACATTTATATCAAATAATTTCACGTTGGTGCTGAGCTCTAACATGGTCTAAAACCAACATTTAAACTATTTAACTCATGGTTGCTCCTTTCTAAAGAAAGAATTTGACTTGTTTTTTTTTGTTTTGTTTTTTTGTTAGCAAAACACTCATACTATACACCCTAAAATTATCATTTTTAAAGTATACCGAACAAAGAAGAACCATATACTGTTGAATGTTACTAATTTAATCTTAGGTGACTATGAGAATGACAAATCGAGTAATTATAATAATCAATCATGAAATTTTCTGAAAACTTTAAAGTACTTTTAATTATTTCATTCATTTTTTTTTATTTATTTATTTATTTATTTATTTACTTATTTATTTATTTTGGAAAAGAAAATAATAACAGGAAAAGTCATCCTTATTGTAAAGGTTTATTTCTAAAATAAATAATGGGGCAGAAAATACACTTCTTTGATCAATTGTGTATTGTGTACTTGTTATGCACCGGGGGAAAACTGCACGGTTCAAACAAAGTTTAAAAGCCTTGAAGATTATGAATCTATATGATTATGCGGTATCATATTTAAACGGTGTGTTAACCTTTTACTGAATTTTAATGAAACTTCAAAATGGCTGCACTCCATTTTGAATCGTTCGGTACATCCCGTATATTATGCAACTTCATCAGTCGAAATCTGACGTAAAGTGCCGGAAATTTGCGATGGTATGACGCACTTTAGTATGTTTTTACTTTTCTGGAGTGATTTCGAATTAATGTTTCTCAACCTTGAAAGAAAACTACACATTATCTGCTCTGAAAATATGCTTATATATTAAGTTGAGATGATAAAAATAATGTTAATAAGATTATGTTTACACTAGATATAATCTACAGTGGACAATGGTACAATACATGATTACCAGCCTTTTATTTATTTCATAGTTACCAGTAAGGAAAAAACTGCTAAATAAATCGATTCTGTTGGAGTACAAAAAAGGAGAGTGGCCAAATGATTTAGATGTCTTCCTCTAAAACGGTGGTCGTATATTTAAGCTCTATTAAAGTAAATGGTCTTGTTAAAGTTCTTCATGCGACACCAAAATGAAGGGTCGGGAACAAACTCGAAAGTGATTAAAAAGTCTCTCAGCCGACTTCACAGTCGGGCTTAAACTAAGAGAGTAAAAAACGTATAGAGGAACAAAAATAATTATAATAAAAAACAAAACATTTATCTTTACACAAGTCTGGTATATGCTAACACTATAGTGGTATCCCATTGACGGCTTCACACAAATACATGTGTATATTTATACTGAAAGAATTCAAAAGCGAAGCTATCATAGCATTTAAGTTTTTTCTTTGTTTTTTTTTTTCTTTGTTTTTTTTTTAAATATTTTTTTTTAAATTTCAGCAACACATAGTTGCTCATATTTTTTACCCGTTATTGTAGAAAGTGGGGTCGGGAAACCATGCATCCACCTCTTCCGCTTACAATATTATACATATATCTTGAAATGTTGTTTTGACATATAATTAACAGTTGTTTTCTTTTTATTTTATGAGAACTTTAAATAAGAAAAAAGCTTGGCCTTAAATTTTCATAACTGCTTCTCCTTTGACCAATGGTTAACAATCTTATTCATCCGACGACTTGTAACATAAAATCCCAATTGTCATAAGTGAGCCCCATAGAATCATGACCCGGGTCATTATAATATATTTTATTTAAAATAGTGACCCCACTTTTATAAAATAGTGATCCCCTTATATTTAAAATAATGACCCTCTATTTTATCTATAAAATATTGACCTCCACCTAATATTCTCTGTAAAGTCAACGTCATATTACAATTGCGTATACGTATTGTTGTTGTTATTGTGCCTGTTGCTGCTTCTGGTTCGGCCGTTGCTATTGCCGCGACAACAGCTGACAAAACAAGGGTAAAATTTAGAGGTTCAGCTAAGAATAAGCGAACATCTTATAAAAATGAAGTTTAAATTACTAAATGCTTAATGCAAATTCTCCTTTGTGAAAGAGTGTTCATTTTCAGTGGGTTTCGGTAAAGTATGAGTTCAAATTCCTAAGCAAAGCAATCTTTTTTCTCCTTTTTTTCTTCATATTTTGCCTTCATTTAGGCAATTCAGCTATATAGGCCATCATCTTTTTTAGGTAAAAGGGTGTTTTGACTTAAATAAATCAATTATTAATGAACTAAAAGTACCAAATACCGTGCATATTAAGCAAACATTTAATTTTATACGAGGTGCACTCTTACTCAAGTATATATGCTTAGTGCGCAATGGCGCTGTGATATAGCATTCGTTTCGTATATGATCGGATCCCGGAAAAGTGGTTTAAGTTGTGCTTAGTTACTTTTCATTTTAATGAATGATACATTTTATTAACATAGAGCTACTTGAGAACATGAAGTTTTACACTGATTTGTATTCAGCATATTTCAAGTCAACTTAATGAGATAAATGACTGAACATTAGCAATTAAAGAAATACATTATGTGTAAATACAATCCAACTACAAAAGTGCAAAACTAGTTGAATTGACGTTTTGTTATTTATGATTGTACCTTTAAGTAAGCAAAGAAGTAATAGAAAGAGCATCGAAGCACGAGGCTATCTGATTTGTACGAGGGGCGTAGCCCCCGAGTATTTATCAGATCGCCGAGTGTTTGATGTTCTTTCTCTTTTGTATCATAGTCAAACATAAAAACACGTTCCCTGTTGTCACAATATGAAACCCCGGCAAAAATGAACCAATGAACGAACATCTGAATATTATATTTCTGTCGCTTTCCCTTTCTCTGCAGTCACAACATGTAAACCCCTGAAAAATGAGCCAATCAATGGGCATGCTCTGGAGTGCGGGTAACTAATACCTGCACTCCAGTTAACGCACTGTGCATGTATATGTTTACGATTTAACTCTGACACATTTTCAACAGAAAGGGCCCCAAACTATGATACAATAAACATTTATGAAGCTCATCAATATTGTTAAATAAGAGGAGGATGTCCTTAAATGGACCGTAAATGTCCGTTTACACGTAGATCTGCTTGGTTGTCTATTCAATCAGATTGTGCTGATCTCCGTCGTACTGTTGCGCATCTTCGCAAAGGCACAAGACCTTCAAAGAAGATTACAAATGTAAAATATATAAAGCGGTACTTTAATATAGCCTCACTGTCTCGAGACGGACTCATTACTGTTAAAAGGAAATTGCCGTTTATGCCAAGTCAGGAATGTATTGTTGTTCCCCGACAGGTTCTCGCTTTTGACCGTCAGCCATTTAAATCTGTCGTACAGAAATACTTTTATGCTTTGGATATGGACAAATCAATAGACATGGTCACTAAAGGTTGCCATCAGTGTGCATCCCTGGCAAAGGCACCGAAAGTGCGCGATGAGCAAAGCTCCGAGGATCCACCGTTGGATTAGCTTTTGCTGCTGATGTAATGAAGCGGGAACGTCAACTTGTTTTTGTAGTTCGAGAATGTGTTACCTCGTTTACATTCACAAAGTTGCTAGAAAGTGAGCGTCATAATGACCTACGTGACGCTATCATACAATTATTGGCAGAGATTCACCTGCTTGATGGTCCGTACGCTGTGATAAGAACCGATCCAGCTCCAGGTTTCAAAGCATTGGTAGATGACATCGTATACGAAGGCTGTTCAATATATAATGAGACTGTCCCCATATATTTTATGCTTACATCATATATAACAAAATGTGGTATAATTATTGAACATAACTTATCCGGCATTTCAACCTTATATCTTATGTGTTTCGGGGAGGTGCGCTACATAATTGTTTTTATACTCTTACGTTTTCTTTTAATAAAATTGTATTTTACAACCGAGTCGACGGATTTTCTGCAGAAAATGGTCCGAGTGGGAGCATTCAGCAGGTGCGCAGGTGCGCGATGACGTAGAATCCTACCATTGTATTTGACATCCAAAAGAAAACTAAGTCTGTTTTGGTACGAATATGAAAATATGTCTAACAACCATATTTTTAATTTAAATATGCCCACTTATGTACAATTTTAAACAAATTCCCCTCGGCATTTTGTACTTTCGGTGTCTACAACCATTATAATAAATATACAAATAATGTATTGTTTCGTTTTGTATCATGAATTCACTTATTTTAGGTGGACATTTACTTGATATATTGGAAATAAACTTGTCAACAACTCCCAGCATTAAATTACTATCTGTTTACGTGTCTAGTTTCTTAGCGTAGGTAAGACTGAAATACCGTATCTGTTCTGTGTATTCATACTATTGTGTTCGAGCAATCGGAACGTCCGCGGCTATTATCTATAATAACCTTGGAAACAATACGGAATGAAAGTAGTTCTACCGCGAGGTTTCAGATGTAAACATAAACAAAGAATCTTCGATTATGTAAAACGAATGTATATATTTGACATCCGAAAGAAAATTTAGTCTGTTCTGTTTCGGTACAATTATGACATTTCTAATTTAAATATGCCCACTGATGTACAATTTTAAACAAATGCGACTGAATGTCAACAGGTTGGCATTTTGAACTTAACCATAATAATAAATATATAAATACTTAGTAATGTATTGTATGCTTTTGTATCTATGAATTCACTTCTTTTATGAGGACATTAACTAAATTAATTGGAGAGAAAAAACTTCTCAACAAGTCCCAGCATTAAATTACTATTTGTTTTCAAATTTAGTTTCTTAGCGTAGGTTAGACCGAAATACCGCATCCGTTATGTGTATTCATACTATTGTGTTCGAGGTCTTTATCCGAAGACTGTCGGAAAGGGCCGAAAAGTTGCGATTGAGGACTTCGAACACCAATCGTAATAGTAATTTAATGTTGGGAGTTGTTTACAAGTTCATTGTAAAATTCCACCTAAATTCTAGAGTCTAATAAACAATACATTATTTCTATATTTATTATTAAGGTTGTAGAAACAGAAAGTATAAAAAACCAACTTGTTGACATTCAGTCGGATTTGTTTAAAATTGTGAAATTGTAAAATCAGTGGGCATATTTAAATTACAAATTGTTGTCAGAGATATTTTCAATCATAAGTGTACCGACTTTTCTTTTGGATGTCAAATATATACACTCGTTTTACATTATCTCTGTTTCTGTTTACATCTGAAACCACGTGGTAGAACTATTTTCAATCCGTATTGTTTCCGAGGTTATTATGGATAGGTCCTTTTCCGAAGACTGACGGAAAGGGCCGAAAAGTTGCGATTGTCAATTTTGAAGCCATTTTTAGAAAGCAGCAAGAATTGCATTTAGAGTAAAGATGTGATCATGTAAAAATAGAAAATAAATAGTTTTCATGATATCTTTTGAATCATTCATATTTACGCTGACGTTTAATTTACTTAATCACGCTAAAGATGTGCATTTTCTATGAACGAAATGGTTTACACTTAAAAATGATCTTGTTATTTAGGGGAAGCCAACCAGTTTTCTTTTCAAAATGACTTCAAAGAGGATTTCACCTCAAACATTTTACAGTGCTTCCATGCAATAGTTGCTAACAAATTGTTTACGTCAGTCGGCAAGTGGAGATATCACTAATAATACTATTTTGGAGAATAATGCAGCTTCACATATGCATTTTATACAAACAAACAATGCATATGGAAGTTTAAATGATGTACTGTATAGGGAGTCTACCCAAGGGGTAACTTGAATTAGGACTTGTCACTCATTCCAATATTTATTAACCTGTTACAATTAACTTTGATGAGTTCTACCTACCAATTTCAGGTCAAAAGGTCAAGGTCATTGGTACTTGATATATCAAAATTTCAATGGGTCATAAATGGAAAGTGCGTATACAAGGGACTTGATTTGTTCTATGTGAATAGATCTTGATATATCTAGTCCTCAGGTGACCGCTTTAGAGACAAATGGTCCCTTATAAAGAATGTAATTTTCCTCTTTGTTAATTTTATAATTATCCAAGTTGTTGTAAAAATATAAATGGAATATATATATTCAATTTGACATTTAAACACATCAAATGAAACAGAAATGACAAAGCGAACGATTATTGGCTTTTTTAAAACATGTAAAAGCTAACCTTATTTCGTTTAAATGCAACAAGAACTCATGTACATTAGAAAAGCTCGTTTGTCTTGATCTTCTTTTTTTTTAGAACTTGTCAACAATAAAATTATATTTATAACGTGATAGTTACAATTCATACATATTGTTAGCGTTTAGTCAGTTTTTAAAAGTACTGCTGTAAACCTAGAAAAATGGTCAAGATGATCAGCATGGCCAAATGCGACTTTGGAAGAAATTTTGTCGCCTTTGTTTGCATGGATGACACTTGTATCTGTCCCAGATTTGTGGCCATATCCGCCAATTCCCGAGTGCGACCTTGCGATTAGTTTACCATTTTGTCGAGTTTCGAGAATCACAAAACTGCTCTTGTCCCCGAGCACGGTGGTTGAAATCAGATATAACCCAGAAACTGGACACTGGAAAATTCCTGTTGCTACGTCATAAGCGTTTCCAATGTTTGTCGTCACAGCATTAAATTTTACGATCTGTCCAAATTCTGAGTTCAGCATTGGTTGGCTGAGTGTACCTGAGAAAGCGACCTGTCTGTTATCTGGTATCGGTTTGGCTACAGGAAAAAAAGAGTAATTTTCACTGACCAACTTAATACATTTGAAGTTTCCTTATCAAGTAAACCGGAAATATATAAAAATCGCGCGAAAAAAATAGATCAAATATATTTGAAAGGGTCTGTTACAAGATATTAATTACTGGAATGCCAACCATAAAGCAAGTAAATATAAAAACAAGTAATATCAATTTAATTGCAGTACATTGCTATTGTACTGTGTTAAATCGTTGTGTATTATTGCAATCATAATAAACTTTACATGAAAGGAAAGCAATTTCAACTTACATGTTCCAGTGCTAAGTTTTTCTTCAAGACGTTTGAACTTATTTTCTAGTTGTCTAAACTTTGTCACAATGACGGAATCGTCCATCTTTCTTGATGTACCCTCATCTAAATTCAAATAAAAAATAGCGGAAAAGTGATTTTATGTGTGCCTCATCCGTTACATTCAGCAAATCATAAACTAACGAACTCCTATTAATATAACCCGTTACTCGATATATGCCTTCAGTTTATAAACAATCTTTCTACACTCGTACAAGGCTGTTAATTGTTTCACTAAGTACCCTGACAGACAGCACCGATAAAAGACCTGAGTTGAATGAACATTAATTTTCAAATAAACTTTTTGAATATGCGAATATTAGGTACTGAACTTATCTTAAATTATGTGAAACTAATGTAACCTTAAAAGTCGCAAAGAAAGAACACAATGCTGTAGGCTCGGTTTGGGTGCTACTGCTCGATATTCCCTAGCATTAACATACATGCAGAATCTAATAATATACCTAATAACCATTGCCATTTTTGATGCATACGTAGGTACATATAAAGTCATATGTTAATATTTGATTTAAACAATGTGAAACGTAAATAATTATGTGGCACAGTTATCATTACAAATTAATCATATCCTTAAATCTGGAACACATTAACAGTTCTTGATAAGCTAAGTGACATAGCATGATCTATCGTTGTAGATCACTTCATTCATTAACAAGACTTTAGTATGGACTTTTGGCGTCGCTGAAATTATGTTCTTAATCCTTTGTCCTGTTTGATCTTTACACATTGATTGATAAGTTAGAAAATCATCATTACTCACGTGTTATGTTATTCAATTTTTCTTCAAGAATTTTGTTCTGATCTTTCAGCTCTCTGAACTTTCTTTCCGCTTCAGCATTGTGTAGAAGCCTTTGCGTTCGTTCATCTGAGATCACGTGAAATAAACTCAAGTACTGAGAAAGACACATGCCATTTTCATGCTCGTGCGAAGCATTAGATCCAGAAAGCAATACAAACAGAAAAACTCCAATTGAAATATATGTCATGATTTTAAGAAGTTTGCCAACGTTAGGTATGTACTTTGTCTCCTAGAAAGTAACACACCGTTTATATAGTGATCTAAAAAAACGTGTACATGTAAAAGAAAGGCCTGCAAAAAGAAAAGAAGTGTTGCTTCGCCCGGGGACATATATTAGGTCAGGGGATGGGTTTTATATGTATTCTATTCTATAGGTTTCGCCGAAAAGTGTTTTGAAGAAGTTTACTGTATAAAGAAACCAAATCATGTTAGAAATGTGATTTCACGATTAGCAATGATATAATATGTTAACGTTGTTTTCTTCACAAACATATATATTCACTATAACAAAAAGTTTTATGTATATTTGAAACTTACAAACAAATACATTATATACATATTTAAGAATGATATACTGTTAAAATATATAAACAAGAGGTGGAAATTAAAACTGTTCTATAGAATTTCTTTAAACTTGGCATGTTGTTAGAATATGATAACAGAAACATTTTTTTTTCAAACGTTTGGGTCACCGTTCTCGTTTTTGAGTTATCTACCCCTGAATCAGAATCTTCTACTTATTTGAGGTCATTTAAAGGGCAGATAACTTATACATATGCAAATGAATTCTTGTTTTTACTTCTGGATAATGTTTTTCTTTTTATTGTTGAATACAATACATAATTAAATGCATTTTCTTATATCGTTTCTGTTAATTTTTTCAATGGAAATAACGGTACTTTAAATTCATAAAAATTGGCCAATTTTGCATATTGACTAAGACGAATGTAAGCTTCATGAAAAAAGATAGAAAAAAAATGTATTGTTTCGCTTCATTGAAAATTATCTGCCCTTGAATTTAACGAAAAAGTCCAATTCAAGGGCAAATAACTCGAAAATAAGAACGGTGACCCCAAATTTATTTCCGTTTAAAATGTTTTTGCTATCATATTCTAATAACATGCCAAGTTTAAAGAAATTCTATTGAACAGTTTTAATTTTGTCTATATAAAAACTCTGGAAAACGTCTAAGATACTGGTGTGGAATATGTAGAATTGACGATGTTAATGATGAACCAAAGAGGAAAGCGTCTCGCGTAAGAGCTACAAAAAAGGTTCAAAGAAGTCAAAGTAATTACCGCTTTTGTGATATAATTCAAAGTATCTATCGGCAATTCATACAGGCGACTAACCAAATTGATACCAACATTCCTCAGATCTTGTACTTGAACGTGCCAGGATGAATCACCATTTCCCATCCAAGTCATAACCTCTGGACAGCAGTTGTAGCGAGCTCTGGATCTGAAGGGAGATGTGGGTTGAGAGGTGAGGAAACAAGTGTTACAACAAGTCCACTGTGTCATCTGTTTCTGATACATTTTTGCGTTACTGCATTATTAAAACAAATCGTTTATGTTCATAAATTAAAGTGGACCAGAACACTTGAAATGTTGGATAAAATCTTCGCAGAAAAATTGTCACATTTTTATTAGAATACAGATGCAAATATTCTGATTTATACCTCAAACAACTAATATTGTTGTGGCCATCAAGTATAAGAATAATATTTTTAAAAAGACAAAAATTGCGTGTTTACTTATTTCAAACATACCGTAATCTTGAGATCGCAATCTTTCAAACAAAAAGTTTTTGAATCCTTAAGTAAGGAAATTATATAAAGTTAAAGATAAAATCTGTTAAAGCATATTTTAATTGTTCGTTATTCACACTAAAATGGGATGATATTATACAAAACTAGTTACAAAAATATTTGAATAGAAGCTTACTTACGTCTTAAATATCGAATTCAGCTTAGAAAAATAACCTCATTTGCAAATGTTCCCACGGGCATACGTTCGAAAAAAAAACGTGCATATTATTACAAATCAACAACAAAATTTCATTGTAAGAAATGTTTGAATTCTATTTTAATTTGTGCTACCTAAACAGGAAAATAAATAAATCAAACACGTCAAAATCTTAACAGTTAATTTTACGTACCTTTTTACATAAGTACATGTAGTTGATAACCATTAACCATTGGGAAGTAAAGTTAATTAAAATTATCAATTTGAAGGCCAATAAATAAAACGTGTCACATATATCAACATATTTTGTTAAAGTTAATACTTTGCCTTTCCTTTTTCTATAATGAACCTTTTTAGAACACGGTCCGTTGCTATGCAAAATCGACCGGATGTAGTATTTTTTTACGCATGCCGCAATCTGGATAGGGCAAAAGATATTTTCATAGACAATTCTGAGTCAATTGACGGTGAAAACTAAAATAAAAGTTATGAAATAGCTTTTAACTTGTGGCCAGAATTGCAATAAAAAGATATGGAAACGATGATTCCCTTGCCAACACGTCGGACCACAGACACTTGGGGTTTGGAGCTCAAAACGCCTTTAAAATCCAAATAAAATGCATATTTGTCAATCCCAGCACATGTACTGATCATATATATCAAAAAAACTTAATATAAGCCGTTTTGAACAAAATTCATATTTCAACATCTATAATTATTATAGATGTTGAAATATGAATTTTTTTCAAAACGGCTTATATTAAGTTTTTTATTTATATGATCAGTACATGTGTTTGGATTGACAAATATGCATTTTATTTGGATTTTAGAGGCGTTTTGAGCTCCAAACCCAAAGTGTCTGTGGTCCGACGCGAAAATCATTAAAATAATTGTTGTAAAAATATGGAAATCTATTTATTATCAAGAAAAATGATCTACTTTATTCTTTTTGAAATAGTTCATATAAAAACAAATACATTTTTTATATTACATATGAAATCGAAGTTAATTATCATGCTAAAAAAGGCCAGCACATGTGATAATAATACAGGTTCTTGAAAAAAGTAGGTCTTACGCAAAGTTATATTGATGTCCTTGGCAATTTATGAATTTACAAGTGTTTCCTTTTTCAATACATTTTTCATATCATTAAACATTTTTCTGTGCTATATACTAATTACAATTTAATCAATTATAAAATTGTAACTTATAGTGTTGTTCGGTCCACATAATTTTCGTCCCAAGACGATTCGTTAATATAGCTGTATTTATATTTTAGTGATAGTAAAATACAATAATTGGAAAGAATAGCAAACAACATAATACATATCCACATCGGTAGTCAAAATCAATTTGATATTTATTTCCTGGTAAATCGAAGAAATATTCCTGTATAATAAATCATACCAAATATAAGGCAGGAAACAGGAAGTTAAGCCTGGTAATTAATAATTAACTTAACTAATAAAGATGTTTCATTCTAAATAACTAAGCTCTAGCTCTTTGGTTTTTTAAAAGATTTTTTTTGAAAGTTTTTACATAATGCATATAAGGAAAATCAATAAGCCCCTTGGGCAGGGCCAATTTTGACCCAAGGGATTTTATTTGAACAAACCTGGTAGACACCCATTAGAAGATTTTTCATGCTAAATATCTTAGCTCTAGATCTTTGGTTTTTTTAATGAAGATTTTTTAAAAAGTTTTTACTATATACATGTACATATAAGGAAAATCAGCGACCCCTGGGACGGGGCCAATTTTGATCCCATGGCTTTTATTTGAACAAACTTGGTAGACACTCATTAGCTTTTAGTGTTTCTTGAAAGAAGATTTTTTTAAAGCTTTTACTATATACATATAAGGAAAATCAAAGACCCCCCAGGGCGGGGCCAATTTTGACCCCATGGTTTTTATTTGAACAATATTGGTAGACGCCCATTGGAGGATGTTTCATGCTTAATATCTAAGCTCTCGCTCCTTGGTTTGTTTTTAAAGAAGAATTTTTAAGTTTTTACTATAATCAATGATCTTCCCAGGTGTTGTCATTTGACCCAAGGGCTTTTATTTAAACAAACTTGGTAGACATTTACTAGAAGATGTTTCATGCCAAATATCTAAGCTCAGCTCTTTTTCAAAAAAGTTTTTTCTTTCGGTTGCCATGGCAATCACAGGTCTGCATGAACAAATTCTTGAACACACATTTTAAAGGTGACCTCCAAAGGAACATTCCTGTGAAGTTTGATAAAATTGGCTTAATGGTTTATGAGTAGATGTCGTTTAAAGTAAAAGTTTACGGACGGACCACGAACGGCTGGGCGAATTGTGATCACAAACGCACACCTTGTCACTTTGTGACAGGTGAGCTAAAAACAGGAAATGAATACATACAATTAAAATGATTTTGAAATAAACTTATAATAATAATGCTCTCAAAATGTAGGTCCGTACGCTATATAATCACTGCCCTTTTTAAGGTTTACATTGCTCGAATGACGTTGAGACCACTGTAATACACTTAATTCTACCGCATTTTGTGGGAACAGATCAGGGCTAGTTTAAAACCATTTATAATATTAAATTATATATTTTTAAAGAATTACAAATTTCATCCTTACTGAGAGCCCATTGATAAGTCCAGAAAAAAATGTGAAATTTTCGTTATAACTCTTGATTGCATGCGGGGATATAAATTACACAAGAAAGGGGAATAACTGAAACAGTTATAATGAGAAATGGTTCATTAAGGTTTGCTTCCCTTTGTAAAGCCGTTTTCGTACAAAATTACTTTTATCTGGGACAAAAAATATTTTAGGTTCCAGCTTTTATCTATTAATTTACAGGAACAATATATAAAAAAATATCTTGCTGCGCACATCGAATTTTCATCTCACATGTGTTGAAACTTTTTACGATGAAAGTAATCTCGCAACAGATTATATGCGTGGTGAATATTTAAAACACATGTCATTTTACCACAACGGGTGGCCATCTAGCATAAGATAATAAGGGGTTGTGAAACACTGGACCAGGAGTAAGAAGAGTGAATTCTTGTATCATAATCCTAGATCTGGCATTCTTTTCTTGAGATTTAATCTAGAAGAAGGAAATGTTAAATAGTGATAACGGTAGAATAAAAATAATAATAAAGCAAATAATATCAAATCTTCAACTTAAAATAACTTGGAATACATCGGCGATAAAGCCTATTAACGTTTTTTAGTGTTTCTATAATAAGTCCTTGTTATTAAAAGTGCGGTCTTAAGTGGTTTACATGATTGTGGAGTAGATCAGATTAAGAAAAAAGACCAAGTTGTTTCGCGTTTGGATGTTAAAATATACTAAAAAGTACACATTTTATTGAAAAAGTTGGTATAAAGTTAAAACACAAACATGTATATAACTAGATTCATGCAGATCTACATCTATTAATTATTAAAATATAACACTCGCTGACTAGATCCACATGTTACTTCCGTACTAGACTTACTTATCGCAGAGAATCTCTGTATATACAATGCTTGTTAATCTTGATCAAATTAGTGCTATCAATGAATTTAGATAACGAGAGGTCCAACAAAACTTTTTTTTAAAATATTTGAAGGCGTAGATCTATGTGCTATGTATAGTTATACAAAATAAATAAATATATAACGCGCCTTTAACACAAATATGATACAATTTTTCATCCAAAAACTTGGCTCTAACATATTTCTCGCGCTTTCACATATACATGTATCAGATTTCGTGCCACGCATGCAACTTGCTCGAGAACCAATCACATAACACGCGCCGAAATTTGCGCAGGCTATACAACTCATTTCCGTTTCCACGTTGACAATTTTTGATTGGTTTTTACAATCACGTGGACAAAATAGTGGCATTTGATTGGTTAAAAGTTGATCAGCGTCCGTATGAGGCATACACATAAAGTTGAACTAAAAAGTTACATCAGAAACATTTGTTGATTTCTTAGAATTCACACAACTTAAGAGTATTTCTGGAATAAAATCAATTGTGAAAAGGTATGATGATAAGTTAAATTACATGACACCATTCAGATATTGATCAGAATCGCGAGCAAATCGTATGAAAAACACAGCTGTCAAAACTTTGATCTTAATCATTAAACGCTTATTGATAAAATTGAAGATTTATATGTGATTATTTTGCAGAAAAATGAAGTTATACACAGCCAGTTTAGCACTTGCTTTGCTCTCTAGCAGCCTTTCATCAGCACTTCCTCCTAAAGAACACAAAGAACGTGTGCACGAACAGGTAAAGTTCTTACATTTGTTAAATTTAAAACTGAAAGAACTATTTAACAGTTTAAGACTGAAATGGATAATGACAATACTCAGGATAACAAAACTTAATTGACATTTGTCAGTTTTATTTTTTATTAATGAGTTTGCTGAAAATTATTGCAGGTGACATGCTTCCCTAGGTCATTGTTTCAACAATATGTTTTTAATGCTATTTTATATCTCTTTAAAATTCAAATCTTTGACTTTGATATAACATTTGAAAGGTATACATTCAGTGTAAAAAATTAGGATTTGAATTGACTAGGCTGGACCAATAGATTGGAATATTCACTAGCCCAAAAGACATTTCACTAGCACGATTCATTTGTTCAAAACAGTTGTTTATATTGCCTCTGAAAATAGGAAGCCTGTTCGGGCTTGTTACTGTAAAAAGTTGGTAGCCCGAGGAGAAATTTTGTAGTCAGGGGCTATGGGACTACTGCTAATTTCAAACACTGTACATTCATGCACTCAAAAGCTTTGCGTGAAATAATAAAATGGAAGGTTAAACAATTACATGATTCAATGTTTACAGTTATATATAAAGAAACATAACATGATTAAAAAAAAAGTTGGAAAATGTATGTTCAAGATTTCGAAGAGATAGAACACTAGCTATTATCAAAACTCTCTTCATCAAAAGTTTTACAATTTTCATAAAAAATTATTTCAAGAAGCTGATCATGAAAGAATCCTTTTGCTTTATTTAGAAATTAAGTGATCAAGATCATGAGAAGGAAGGTGAGCACAACAACGACTATGACCATGATGCTTTTCTTGGTCAAAAAGAAGCCAGAGATTTTGATCAACTTACACCAGAAGAAAGCAAGGAAAAACTAGGGTGTGTATACCATAATAAAGTTAATATTTGAGCCGCGTTACGACAAAACCAACGTAATGGGTTTGCGACCAGCATGGATCCAGACCAGCCTGCGCATCCGCGAAGTCTGATCAGGATCCATGCTGTTCGCTTACAGACCCTATAACAAGTAAAGAAACTGAAAGCGAACAGCATGGATCCTGATCAGACTGCGGGGATGTGCAGGCTGGTCTGGATCCATGCTGGTCGCAAATCCAATATGTTGGTTTTGTTGTGAAGCGGCTCATTTGATTTTAGCCAGATTCTTTGAGGATAAGAAGAGTAAATTATGTCATTGAAATTGTATGGATGATTTAAAGAAAATTCTCTTATACTTTGATTTTTGAATGGTGATGTACTTAGTCAGATCACGGTCGAAGATAACCAAATCACATGACTCAGCGGAGACAGTTTTCGGTAAAGTTGGTCAGACTAAAGACCATTCTATTTGTAAGACCCTGATGGATGTAATTCACTAATTGTCACGGTTCGGAACTGTTCACTTAATAGGGGAGAAGATGTGTAAGCGGCCGGATAGCTCAGTCTGTAGAGTCAAGGAACGGTATTCTGAGGGTCCCGGGTTCGAGTCCCTGTCAGGCTGCATATTTTTTCTCACCCTGTGACACAATACTTTGATTTTGGTGCTTTGTGCCATTTTATATATACCTTGTTTTAAAATGATGTACACAATTACAACAAGATTAAATAAATGTGTGTAGTTTTGTTATTATTTAAAAATTCACAATGTATCTAAGTTAAATTCTTCACAAAGTATTTTCTTGGAATCCACAAGCGTTTGCAGTGCTGCCAAAGTGATTTTATATATATTGGTTAAATGAATTTCTTTACAGAATAATTGTGGACAAAATAGACAGAAACCATGATGGTGTTGTAACTGAGGACGAGTTACAACATTGGATTCAGTATGTGCAGAAGAAATACGTCATCGAGGATACAGATAGAATGTGGAAAGAGCATAAACTGGATGATGCAGGCTTGAGCTGGGAATCGTACAGAAAAAATACTTATGGCTATGAATATGGTAAATCTTGATATCTTTTTCATTTTGTAATATCCATGGTGGTCTTTGTAATCTAAATAGATGCTTTTCACATACAAATTATTACCTCCCTTGGCTGTCATTTTAGGGGTTATTCCCTATAAGAATCTTACACCGGCTGCCGGTACAGACCGGAATATCTAGCTCGAGGGTAACTGTTTACAGCGGTAACGAGGCTCTGTCGAGTTTCCGCTAAACAGTTACCCGAGAGCTAGATATTCTCGTCTGTACCAACAGCTGGTGTTTGATTCTTTTTCTTGCATATAACATGTCAATTATTTTCGGAACAGAAATTATGAAAACTGATATTCTCATTACGCACTTTTTTTTTATAGTAGTGTATGAACATAGAACTTCATTCATAACGAAAAATGACGTCATCCTAAGAACGCGATTCATTCATAAAAGGCGCGCGTCAATGACGTCATTTAAAGCACGCGACTTGTCTTACATGGGGGATGTAAGACAGAGTTTTCTAGCACCGGTGTAAACGGTTGATAATCCTGTCTGAGATGCAAGAAAATATATTCTTGCATATCAGACAGGATAATCTACTGTTAACACCGGTGCTAGAAAAAACGCCCCATGTAAGACAAGATTATTTAGTGTTTCTCATTTCTGAAAAAGAGCCCTTCTGATAGAAAAGTTGTTTTTTAAGAAAAATCTCCAGAACTCGTAAACCATACTGTAAACTTTGTTTAAATTTTGCATACAGGTATCCTTTAAGGTATATAACTGACCTATGTTGTTAATTTTATAGTTCCTTATAGTGCCCGTTAGGGGGCTCATACCTTAAAATGATGTCATTGACACATGCTTTTTATGAATGAATCACGTTCTAAGGATGATGTAATTTCTGTTCCGAAAAAAATTGACATGTAATATTCAAGAAAAAGAATCAAACACAGGCTGTCAGTATAGAAAGGAATATCTAGCTTTTTGGTAATTGTTAAGCAGAAACTAGGCATAGCCTCTTTACCACCATAAACAGTTGCCCTCAAGCTAGATATTCCGGTCAGCAACAGCAGCCAGTGTAAGATTCTTATATATGCTAAAGATAAGATAAAAATCTCTCATAATTCTATCATCTTCAAATTCAATAAATGATTTACTTGTTATGTGAAATGAATGACTGATTTTGCAGTATTTATCACTACATTTTTACTGCATTAGTAAACCAGGAAGGGCTATTTTGACCACTGTTTGGTAATTATAAATTACCATTTGCAATGTGTAAATTATTTTCTTTGTTCACTTGACAATATTTCACTTTTTAAATACATTTTCAAAATTTCATGAAAATTAGCATAAATCTGGAGGCATGCCACTTTAAATCAAACAAAAACAGTAACACTAACATATTTCCAACATAAAAAGTAAAAATTATAGCCTTGATGATATCAATACATTGTTATGCTGATGAACCATTTAGGCTTGCTTGATGCATTATGAATTTCACAACCTGTATGGCTACTAAATTATGAATAGTTTGAGCCGCATCACAACAAAACCAACATAGTGCGTTTGCGACCAGCATGGATCCAAACCAGCCTGCGCATCCGCGCAGTCTGATCAGGATCCATGCTGTTCGCTATCAGTTTCTCAACTTGTAATAGGGTTGGTAAGCGAACAGCATGGATCTTGATCAGACTGCGCAAATGCACAGGCTGGTCTGGTTCCATGCTGGTCGTAAACCCATTATGTTGGTTTTGTTATGACACGGCTCAATTTTGTTTTATAGATCCTGAAGAGGCAGAGGATTTTAGTGAGATGGTAAACAGAGATACACGTAAATTTAAACAAGCCGACGAGAATGGCGATGGGTATCTATCTAAAGAAGAATTTGCTTCCTTCTTACATCCTGAAGAACACGAGCATATGAAAGATATTGTTGTTTTAGTAAGTTGTTATTTATTGATATGAAATAACCACCAGCTTGACTTAGTAGCACTAAATTCTTCTAAATTTGCAAAAAAAAATTTAAGAGAAAAAATTTTTAAGTTGTGAGTCTTGAAGGTTTATAAACTTTAAATCTGACTATTTAGAATCATAGGTTCATGTATGGCTTAAGCAGTTCATGCGATAATATGGATGTTTGATATTTTAAGTATTTTGGGTGCGAGTTTCTTTCATAGATATTTACTTTTTGGTGTTTTAAGGTCAATTAAGGCTACTGTAGGTCAAAGTGGCTGAGGCTTATAATAGATTTTTCTTCTCATCCTGTAGTAGGGCCATGTTTGTTGTTTTGCCAAAGCACCTTAAATCAGCATGTAACAGTGTTACCAATAGATTCTCTCCATGATTAATGATATTTTGGTTGGTTTTCCCAGTTTAACCAGGGTTATAAACAAACTTTAACAGTTACAACTTTGGTAATAAAAGGTTCAACAGGTTGAAATGTCTATCATCTTGAAGCTACATGTACAAGGCTAAGAGTTTGTTTGTACCTCTGGTGGATAAGCCTACATTTTCAGAGTTCCTGATAACATCTATATTCTTGTTTGAACTTTTCCCTGATGAATTTTGTAACAGATTTGCTCTGCTTTGCAATTGAAACTGTCCTTTCAAAGTAAAAAGGGATTTCATTCTCAAGATACAAAAATTGAGGTTCCATCAGTATAGAGCCTGGTCAGACTGCATGTTGGTAAAGGTATTCTTGTCAGTTTCTTTGAGAACTTATTTTGAATTATTTAGAAGAACTACCCATTTGTGCTTAATGCTCTTGTACTCTGTCCTGTTTTTGTTTTGTGTCCTACTGGGCTTTTTGCCGGTGGTCGTGTGTTGCTGGGTAGTGTTGCTGGGTAGTGTTGGGGGATGTGCTCATAAAATGCTGCCCTTTCTTGTAGATCTATGCTTTCATATTTTACTGCTTTAGATTTGAAAAAGGTTTTAAGAAGTTGAAGCAGTTGCCTTGCTTGTGGAAAGTATTAAACTGTACTTTTCTGTCTGCTCATTTAGACTGTACTGCACGGAATTCTCATTATCTTGATTGTGTCCAGTGGTATTGGCCGGTGATGTCAGCAAAATGATGTCATAGAATAATGTCAACATCATTGATTGACTTTGCGATATATTTTTGTGTCTAATATCTTTTGTTATAAAATTTGCATGAATTTATTAGTTGTGTATATATTCTGGTACTATTTAACAAAACTGTTTGGAAAAAATTTCAATCCGTTTTTCAACCACAATGTCCACAGTCTAACATTGTTTTATGAATAGGCAGGACTAATAGGTTCTATATGTATAATATATATGAGAAAAAAAAAATGTTTTTAATACAAACATATAATTTTGTCATTTTCAGGAAACAATGGAAGATATAGATAAAGATAAAGATGGTAAAATCAGTTTAGATGAATATATAGGTATGTGAAACAAAGTATTCACCATTTTTTAATTACTTTATCCCTGCTTATCCCACTTTAGGTCAGGTGGACAGATATTTATATTTGAGAAATGAAACTTTACAATTAGGTGAAGGTTACTAACAAAGACCCATAACTCTTGCATTTAAAGTTAAACTGAATTATCTCCCTTTTGTGAAGTAAGAAAAAAAGGTTTGTTAATACTTTGTAAACAGTGTTATCTTCTACCTTGCTGAGATTATGTAAGGGCACTGTTTTTAGACAGCTTCCATTTGTATGCAGGACTCATTTCTTTTAATAATCAAAGTGTTTCGTATTTTTATGTAACATACTGTATAAGTGGATATTTATGCGTCACAAAAAATTTTGCGAATGTCTAAAAGTGCCATTATTGTAATTGTCCTATTCACTTGTTTAATACCTTAATTATTTATATAACTGTTTGCAACATACATTGACTAGGTTTGATAAAGGACCTGATTACACATTTCTTCGACATATTTTGAAATATTCTTTTGCTATATGAATAACCTATTGTGTTATTAAGACATATATTGTTTCATTAAAACATTTCGGATTGAAAAGACCAAACTTATATAAACAAGCAATGAGAAAAAAATAATCTTAGTATCTGAACAGTCAAACTTATTCATCTAAGTTGCTGTATGAAAACTTGTTTTCAAATGATAGTTCTAAGAAAGTTTGCCTAAAAAGAAATAATTTTTGCATGCTCAAATATTTGAGAAAACATGATGTACTTTCAAATCGCAAAAATCACAAATATTTCCACGTCGCAAAATTATACAGTATTATAGAATTCTTGAGGCTATTCTGAATATTGAGGCTATTCTGAATATTGAGGCTATTCTGAATATTGAGGCTATTCTGAATATTGGGGCTATTCTGAATATTGAGTTTATTTTGAATAATTAATAGCTTAGAGTGATGAGACAACATTCACATTGTACATGTATAATGAAATGATATCCTCTTGGCTTACCACAGAACAGGAAATGATCATTTTAATATTGCTATGGTCAAGTTATGGTTGAGTACTTTTAAAAAAAGTGATCATCATTTTATGTAGAAATAAATTTTAGTGCTGTATGAATAAATCATAAAATTGACATATGCTTATACTTGTATACAAATTTTTAATGGTCTAACGGGCTATGGTATATTTTGTGGTGATGTCAAATCATTGTCTGCACTGTTTGTTATTCACTAAATACAATGTACTTATATTGAAATTTTCCCTAGAAATGACCAGTGGTTTTTTCTACTGGTATATTGAATCATGGACAAGTCAGATAATTTAAATGTACAGGGCCAAAACACCCTTTTTGGGGAAGGGGCCTCAGCCTTTTTCTTGGGGAAAATATGCATTTTTGGCATACTTTGGGAAAAAGGGTCTCAAATTTAACACAAACATAAGTTATTCATGATATTTACACTGATATTGGCCAGTATTGGACAAAGAATAAGAATTAAATTTAGTATGAAATCAGAGGAAGAATCTTTGCATGTAATGAGATAATTCTTCAAATTTGGAGGTTTAAAGGAGGAATTCCAAAATTTTGGAGTGAAAAATTCTGTATATTTTCAGTGTTTATTTGAAAATGTGTGAAATAACAAAGAGCTAGGTTCATTAATCACCAAAATTGGCCCCACCTCAGAAATTGATGAAAACCTCTCTAATAATAGTTTAAGATGTCTAATGGATAAAATTAACTTTGTTGATCGTAAATACCTAACAATGACATCACGTCATCCTTTAATTAAGGCAATCAATCAATTTAGCGAGAAAAGTCAATGTCTGGAGCTATATTGTGAATTTTGACATCATTTTGAAAAGAATAAAAACCAACCCCAACAACTAGCCTGTGAGAATTTAATCCATTTATGAACAGAAAACAATTTTCTATTCCAACACCTGGATTTGTGGTTTTCTCAAAATTTTGAAGAAATAGTCTCTCATGATAAAATGTCTGAAATTAACAAATTGCATCTACAGCGGATATATATAATGAAGAAGATGATGATGACGATGATGATGACGACGATGAAGAAGATAGTGATAAAGACGGGGTACCGGATTGGGTGGAGTCGGAGAAAGATCAATTTAAAAACTTCCGAGACAAAAACATGGACGGCTACCTCAATCTCGAGGAGGTCCGAGCTTGGGTCATACCAGAAGATTATGATAATAGTAAAGAAGAGACGAAACATTTATTCCGAGAATCGGATGTGGATAGGGTTGGTTTTATTAAGCCTTGTCTATGTACAAATCATGTTTGCACCAAAATGGGCTTTTCTTCAGACACACTTTCATTCAAAATTGAAACAAAAATTAGTTAAATGTAAACATATCTGTTTTCATTTTTATTGCACTTTGGTTTTTAAGAATTTTTTAGAGTTGAAACATTATTTAAAATTTTCCAACACTTTCAAAAATCAGATAAAATCAAAATTTACCATGAAATGAAAGTCCTTTCAAAAGACAGTCCATTTTGGTCAAATAATGAGTTTTAACAACCAGTTTCTTTGCAGTTGTAATAATATTTTATTGGTTTGTGTGCGCACTTTTAGGTGATATGTGGCCAAATAAAGACGAGGAAGAGCCTGAATGGGTAAAAGGAGAAAGAGAACAGTTCTCTAGTTATCGTGACACCAACGGCGACGGCTTCATGGACAAAGATGAAGTGAAAAACTGGATTATTCCACCAAATTATGATCATTCCGAGGCAGAGGCTAAACATTTAATCTATGAAACTGATGAAAATAAGGTTCGTTTAATTTTGACTCGGAAAATTAATGGGAAACGAGGGTTCGGAAGGAGTTAATGGTTACAGTTATAATTATCGTTAGTGGTGGTAGTAACTTGTCTGTTCTAAATTTGTTCGTTTTTTTGGTTTTTGCATGCTTTTGGAATGAAGTTTTGTTCCATGTAATTTATATATTGCTAATTTAAAAAAAAAAAAAAATACGTTTAAATGGTGCATGTATCTATGTATGGTATATTTATACTCAAGATAAAAGGCGTATCAGTTGCATGCTTTATGGTGACAGTAAAAAAAAAACATAATTCATCAAAAGAAACAAAATGGAAACTTAAATATAAGATTTGGTTTCAAATATGTGATTTTTTTTTTTTTTTTTTTTTTGAGACTGACAGAAAAGTTGGATTTGAGACCAACAGAAAAGTTTGAAATAGAAGGGTTTTTTTTGAATTTTTAGTAAAAGTGGCTATCAAAAAGTGAAAATTTCCATAAGGTGAAATAGGAAATCAACTTTCCTTTTTTTTTTCTTTTTTTTTTATAAAAAAGTTGATTTCCTATCTGGAAAATAGTTAACTGCCCACTATACATGTAAGAGAAAGTACTGTATAAGTTAACTACCCATCAAAAAAGAAAATGCTAAATTTCACGTATGCTACCTTCCCATTAGAAAGAGAGAACAATGTATAGAAAATAAATCAATATTTAAGTAAGAACAGGTGCTCTTGTAAATGTATTGATTGTTGATTGTGTGAAGAACAAAAACACATTAAGACTTGAGATTTTATCGAAATTTAAAATGACTGTCATTAGATTAAATTCAACAGTATCACATTACATGCAGCTGTTAAAATGCAAAATTGATCCACTTTTAGGATGTCAGGTGCTTAAGTAATTAGGTGTTCGTACTTAAACACAAATATTTTCCTTGTTATTCAACTTATTTGGAGTACAGTAAATTACTGTATATTTCAAAGTCTTTAATGATGTCAAATGTTTATACTTGTCAAGATTTTACTGACTTTCATACTTAAGTGTTGAATTCTGCCCCCATGTTTGGAGTCATTGATGGTCACCTGAATTTCCTTATGACATGGGTTTTTCTCACTAAATTAGGAAGAGACATAACCGCCTCCGTGGTCAAGGGGTTAGAGTCAATGACTTCTAATTCAGTTACCTCTCTGGCGTGGGTTCGAACCCCAGGAGATGCTTTGGTAGTTTAGCACTGAGGAAGGTAGTCTAGTACTGGTGTAACTCTCTAGGAACGATGGTTAGGAAACTACCCGCCTATATCATATATAACTGAAATACTGTTGGGAAAAGGTGTAAAATGAAACAAACAAACAAACAAGGAATGGACATTAGCCTCTTGATTTTGGGAGTTTTTTTTTGTTGCTAAAATTGCTCATTTCGGATGTAAAAAAGCTGTTGTAAGTTCAGATTTTTGGAAAACTGCATGATTAAAATAAAAAAAAAATCCAATGGGAACTCTATTTTATGAGGCTGTGTCGATTAAACATGTTCAATGTTGCTAGATCTTCGAGTACATGCAGGTACCACAAGTCAAAATTTGAAATACATTAGAGTAATAAGTGTTCTATAATACAAAGTCAAATTAGACCTAAAAAATCAAAAGTTATCTCCCCTTGAAATTTTCAGATTTTCATATGTCAAGGTTTCGCTTTTTACTATTTCTATAGTAACATATAAAATGAATAATGATTAGCCGATAAACTGGTGAATTTATACTATAGTGGGATTACCCTGTAATGTTTTGAATAGGTTATTCCTGACTTGCTTAAATGAACTTGTCTCTCTTCCATTTTTGGAACTTTGCATTATCAATTTTAGGGGTATCACGATGAAAATTTAAAATTGGGTCAGACAACAGTATTGCGCCGGGTCAGACTGCCTGGATGTGAAGGCTGGTTTGGCTCCCTACTGGTGGCAAAGGCTGATCACTTTCAGTCCCAGCAGGTTAAGGTTGCATTACAAAGGCAAATCGTTGCAATCAATCAATGTCTAATAAGAAAATATGATGCCCATTGATAGACATACAGTACCTTACAATTTTTTATATGCCTATTTCAAATGCCACTTTGGGAATGTAATTTTTGCTGTTTTTTGTTGTTGGTTTTTTAGCTGACAGTGAGCTTATAGGATTGTTGAATGTCTGTCGTCCATCCACATTTCGTTAACACTCTAGTGGTCACATTTTTGCCTCAATCATCATCAAACTTTGTCAGAATATTTGTCTAGGTAATTGCTTGGATGAGTTTGAACATGAGTCATCTCAGATGAAAAACTAGGTCACAGGAATTAAAAATAGAAAAATCTTGTTCACACTCGAGTGGCTACTGTTTTGATCCAAATATCCTGGAAATTAGTCTGAAAGTTTGTTTTGATGATTTCTAGGTGAAGTTTGATCATGGGTCACCTGGGGTCAAAAACTTGGTAACATCCCCAAAATATGGAAAAACCTTATTAACACTCTAGTGGTCGTTTCATTTTTGACTCGATTGTCATCAAATTTGGTCAGGATGCTTGTCTATGTAATTGCTCGGATTAGTTCAACATGGGTAACCTGCGGTCAAAACCTAGGTCACATGACCCAAATATGGAAAAACCTTTTTAACACACTTGTGGTCACATTTTTGACTCAATTGTCATCAAACTTGGTCAGGATGCTTGTCTAGTTAATTTGCTTGGATGAGTTTGAACATGGGTCATCTCTGATAAAAAACTAGGTCATAGGAGCTTATAAAATAGAAAAATCTTGGTAACTCTCTAGTGGTGACTGTTTTGATCCAAATATCCTGGAAATTGGTCTGTAAGTTTGTTTTGATGATTTCTAGGTCAATATTGAATATGGGTCACCTTGGTCAAAATCTAGGGCACACTGCCCAAATATGGAAAAAACCTTGTTCACACTGTAGTGGTTACATTTTTGACTCAATTGTCATTGAACTTGGTCAGGATGCTTGTCTTAGTAATTGCTCTAATGAGTTTGATTGGTCAGGGGAGCGATCTAGGGTCATCTTGACCCACTTGTTTTTTTTTTCATTTGCATGAAATTTGCTGCATTTTAATACCTGAAGGATAATATAGAAGTTTGACTGATAAATAAAGAATGGCTTCTTTTCTGCTTGGTAACAGCATGTTAAATCTTAAAGTTTTTAAAGCTTGTTATCGTCATTTGATAAAAAATTGTATGAAAAAGTTTTAATTTGAAAAACCAAATTTCATGACCTTTAAATGTAAAAGACATTGACCTTGAAAGTTTTATATAATAAACTATACATCCAAAAATTAAGTGATACATCATTATAAACAATTAGATAAGAATATTGTCTGATTTGTATGTTACTTTGACAATGTTATATAGTATGGGGATATTTCACATATTTTCACTTGCCGTAATGAGTTAGTGGAAACCAAATACATTCTGTACATGTATAGCCAGGGATGATCATGATGGTGTAATTTTTCTCTTTTTTCACTTTACTTTTTGTCTTCCTGTTCTTCAAAAAAAAAATTTTTTAAAATTGCATTTGCGTTATGTTTAATTTAACAAGACTCAGGTATCAAAACTCATTTTTATCTGTTTTCTGGACCATTTGGTGCTTGATAAGAAAATTTAAAAATCAACCACAATGTTTTTATACAATACTATAATTCTAGATTTTCGACAATTAAAAAATATTTTGTTGTGTGAAAAAGTTTCTTATAATAATAAAATCTCAGGAAGTTGTGTAAATGGAAAAAAACCTGCTTAGCTTGCTCATCATATTGATAACAACTTCTTCTCTTTTACAGGATGGAGTGCTCACAAAACAGGAGATTTTAGACAAATATGATATTTTTGTTGGCAGTCAAGCGACCGACTTTGGCGACGCCCTCACACGCCACGACGAATTTTAATGCCGTCCATGCCATAGGCAATTTAAACTGTAAAAACTTTTGCCAGTAAAAATACACGTGTGTAATTCACTCTATATGTACTGTATTTTATATGCATATATTTTATGTACTAAGATGCATGTTTTTAACCAGTTTCGTGTTTTGATATAACACGTGTGTAGGTTATCGTAGCATATATATGTAACAGTATTTGCTTATATGAATATGCGTGTATTTGAATTACATGAATTGTTAGTTGAGTGTTAGTTTGGACGTTAATTCAATAATTATGTATTTTTATCATCAGATATATCAATGTTGTGTAAAAAGTATGTTACTTACTCACCCGTAGGTCTGTCCACTTATAAGACGGTAGTTCTAAATGAAGGTGTTATTTTATGAATATTTCAAGGATTACCCTTAAAGCTGCATGCCTTCAGATGAGTCAAATTATTTTAAGACAATAAAACTTTGGAAAGCTTACTAAGATTGTAAGAATGGTTAAAATAAAAGATTCAAGATTCAAAAAATAATTTATATCTTATGTGCTATGAATGACTGATTTTGCAGTATTGATCACCATATTTCTACTATGTTACTACCTCTTTTTGGTAATTTATACGGATTTTAAGTACCGTTTGCAATGTGTAAATTTACTTTCTTTGTTCACTTCACCATATCTACTTTTAAATACATTTTCAAAATTTTCATGAAAATATGAATAAATGTGGAGGCATGCTGCTTTAAGATAATTTGAATTGCTGGTAAACAATAAAAAGAGAAATGTTTCTGTTTGGTACCCAGCTTCATATTCAGTGGATTCTGGTACCCTGTTTCACTGTGATGATGTTTTTGTTTTAAAGAACATGAACAGAAATTAAAAAAAATGAAATAATTTCCAGATCATGATGAAATTATGTTATTTTGGTTTTTTTCTTTTTAATATTTAGATTGATGTGTATATGTATAACAATTGCCTAAAAGTTTGTCAAAATATGTAATTTTATATCTTAACCTTAATATGGATATAGTAAAAAATGTTATTTTGTGATTACTTGCAAAGTGATTATGCTAATTGACAGTGCATTTACTATGTTATATCATGAATCAAAACAAATTGCGATATTTTTAATGAGATTGTAATTAAATTTTATGTTAGACAAAGAGTAAGGTTGGGTTATCAGTTTCAAAAGAAGCACTATGATTGGTCAGTTTTGAAAAGATTTTAAAAATCAACCAATCACAAGTTTTGATTTTAAATATGATCTCTGGCTTTAGCTTTTTATATCCGTAATCCAATTTATTTAGCCTAGGTTGAATAAATGATAGTTTTATTTCAAGCTTTCTTATATTTTATAGTTGATTGAAAAGTGCAAGGGTATTTTTATATGTGTTTTAAACAAAACAACAAGTTGTAAATTAATGATCACAAAAGCTTAAAATATTTATAATGAAATTTATTTTTAATTACAATTACTATTTTTGTGTATTTTTTTTTTTATTTTCTACAGTAAAAATTTGAATGAATCTTGACTGATTGGCATGTGTTTTTAATTGATTTTAATTCTAATGGGAAAATGTACGGGAAAAAAATCCAGTAATAATAGCCATTTTCAATGAAAACCTGTGATTTTATGTAACAAAAAGGTTATAAAATGTTTCACACGTAATAATAATAATATTTTTTGTTGTATTTTTTATGTCAGGAATATATGAATATGAAATAAGTTTTACACTATTGTATTGCTTGGAAATACTCAAAATATTATTATCTAGGAATTAATGATAATTTTTTTAGGTTGTACTACACAGTGATACAGTGTATTACTTGTATTGTAACAGGGGTACATAATTCAGAACACCCCTTATGGTTATGAAATTTGGGGCTGTGATGCAAAAAAACGGTACATCAAAAAAAAAAAGAGTACAACTCTTTTGGAATAAAGGACATATAACTGTGAAATGTGAAACTACATGTATAAGAATGATTGAGTGAAAGATTTGTTCATAGTTTAAGCATAATACCACTAAGTATATGTACTTTTTATGAAAAAAATTGTTTTTGTATGTATTAGAAATTGAACAAACTATCAGATATATGTGTATATAAATATACTGTCATGTGTGAAAATGGCGTCAGTTTTTACTTGGCTGTTTATAAAAAGGAGGAAAGAGTGAGAGAATTCTTTGGTCACAAATAATAAAAACATGAATTTTCATATATTTTTTAATGCCATATATATAGATAAAGAGATATGTTTCTCTAGAAGTACTGCTACATTGTTTAAACATAGACCTCAAAAATTTAGTATATTAGTGCTGCTATTATTTTGTTGGTAGATTTTGTATTGTTAGAATAGCATGTTTATGTTTGTTTGTAAGAAGTAGTACAAGCTTTGCTAAGTAGGTTTATTATTTTTGTCTGAGATGTTTGTTTTTTTTGCTGCTGATGTAGAAGTTTGCATACACATGTAGCAACCATTTATTGTTTATGATTGTGTTCAAGTTATTAAAATTTGAACCATTTAGAACCAGTCAGATTATGCGCATTTTTCATTGGTTAAATTCAAAATCATTGTTTCAAATTGTCCAATCGGATACAGCAAGAGATCGTGACGGGTTTATTAATTGATTACCATTTAGGCAGGTTGTCTAAAGAAGTTGAATTTGAGTTTGTAAACCAGTCTGTAAATGCCATCTTGTCATTGGTCACTTTAGTAAAAATGAAAGTTGATTTACCAATCAAATGTAAGCAGGATTTAGACTGGTTTTGTGATTCAAATTTGTTTTACTTGTGTTATATCTGTGTTAACATTTTGTTAAGTATTTAGCCTTAGGTGCCAAATGTTTTCATAAACTTGTATGTATTAGTGAAAAGTAGAGACTTTGTGCAAAAAAATAGGCCTTTTTCGTGCTAGTGACCTGAAAATGAAAGGTCAAAGTCATCTTATTTGAGGACAATCAATGTGAACCTCTATTATGTCAGGAAAATAGGCCCTATTTTTCTCTGATGTCTTGTGTGGCATAGATATCTGTTTTAGAAGAGATTGTAGTGAGTTTTTTTTTTTAAAGAATGAAAACATGGGTTTTAATGATTTTTACATAAAAAAAACTCAAAAAAACTTGAATGCCTTTGTGTAAAATATAAGCAGAAAGAGAAAGAGATACTAGTCTTTAAATGAAAATCTTGATGCATAATTGTTTTCAATATTTCAATTTGGTAGTTTACTTATTTTAAGAATCCCTACCATATTTCTTTAAGTTACACCAGTACTGTGGTTTAGAATCCTGACAGGGAACTTTGGGATTCTTTCATGTGAGGAAGCTATCCAGCTAGCTTAGGGAATGTCAGTGATTCTACTCTGGTGCCCGGTCGGACCACACACACAGATAAATTATAAATAATAGCAAAAAATTTGGAAAAAAATCAAAATATTATAGGTAAAAATAGAAAGAAGAAACATAAATACAAAAATATCTTTTGAAAATTAAAATAGATCTTACATCTAAACTGTTATTCTGGGTAGTTTTAAGAAATCAGAGTAGAAGAACGATGGTATAAAAAAGCAATAGTTAAATCTTTTCTTCCATGTTTTTCATTAAATTTTAAAGTATTAGCCGACATATCATTAGGAGAAATGCTACTGACTAGTCAAAAGATTGTCTTTAAAGGGACAGTGTCATAAACCTGTAATCATCTTAATTATACAACAATTCGAGGGTTGACTGCAAAACTGCAGTTGTTTACATGATTTAAAGAAGGACTTACAACAGTTTTGTGGTACACCCTTAAGCCATATACTAACCATTTATATATCGCTATAATCATTAATGCTTGTCTGTTTGGAAGAAAAAGTTGAGCCATTATGATCGCTGCAGTGGCGGCGTTGTGCAAAAAATTTAATGTAGCAAGTTTATAGGTATTTATGAAATTTGGAATACTAGCTTACCAGAGGCAGTTGTTACACAAGGGGCATAATTCTTTAAGCCATATTTTTGTAGTGATGCCCCTTTTTAAATCAATTTTTTTCTCAAAATTTGGTTATTTTAACAGACGAGCGTTAACACAGTATGCGCTGCTTTTGTTTTGTTTTAATTTTTAATGTTTATTTTTTTTCCATTTTGATGAATTCATTTTTTCATGAGTTTAAAGATAGAACCCATAAGAGATACATAAAACCACGATGTGATTGAAGCTAATTTTTCTTGCACTCCCCTGTGAAGAAAAGAAAACTGCCTTGAAATTGGTAAATTTACAAGATTTTTAGATTTATTGTGAAGTTAGGACCTAATATGCAAACAATCATAATTTTGCACTTTGGTGTTGCTCAAATATTGACATCTGACAAGGAGATTTTTGTTAATTCAAAAAAAAAAAAAGTATAAAAGAATAGTGGATAAGATATGGTTTTGTTCGATACTGCAGATATAGGCCTATATATGTATTTTTTTTTTGCACAGGGGAGTGTGAGAATAAGTTTAGAATAAAATGGTGCTGATCATGTATGCCATCAGATATTTTACATTTTTTCTATCAATATACAAATGTAGTTGGATATAAAATCTCTCTGTCTCTCTCTCTCTGTCTTGTTCAGCTTGGTTCAAATTGTAAAAAATTGTTGGGATGGACTCTTTAATATATACTTACCTCCCACACAACTTATTGCTTATTATGTTAAAGTTACCTGAACAATCAGTTGACTGTAATCTACATGGTTATTGACTTAATTAAGAAACAAAAAATTACACAAATTCTAGGACTCAGATTGTCCCATTTTTTGCCACCATAAGACTTGCGAGTTACGTCTTCGAATTTCCAAATTTATGTTTTGAAAATTTTCATTTTAATGTTAGAAATGTTAGTTGTTTTTATGCAGATATTATTTTAAAAAAAATCTGGAAAAGCCTTCTGTAATGATATACAAATAGCAAAACAAGACTTGGTTAACTTTCTTTGAAAAGAATAGCAATCATCATGTACTCATAGTCCATGTACAATTACTGTATTAAATCCTATAGAAAACAGGTCTCTTTTCATGTTAATGTCCCATCTCATTGAAATATATATATTCCTCTGCCATTTGATATGTTTTTTTATTGAAAAATAAACTCTGTTTACAATTTTCGAAGGTGTTTTTGTCTTCTTTTTTGTGAATTTGAAATATTACAAAGATGTCGTATTGGAGTTTGAAGTTGTATTCTTGAAGTCAATATTCATGATATGCTCATGCCATGAAACATATAAACTTCAACCTGTCCGTATTTATGGTGTGCACAAAATTGTACCGCAAAATCATGGGGCACTAATTTTCGTGGATAGGTAATTGAATTCACAGTATACTTTAAGTCTGGTCAACAAGTGCTGCATGCATGATTTGATTTCAAAATAAATCGGTACACATGACCACATTAAGGAGGCAATCAATGTGTCAATGCAGGACCCAGGTCCGGAACTTAAAGGTCAAGGTCACAGCAAAGGATTGTACCTAATGTTACTGTCCTAAAGTGTCATTTGAAACTCGAGTTTGTGCCCAATCTATTAATAATTTCTGCATGCTTGATGAGATTTTAACTGATTTTAACTGATACCGATGATCAACATAGGTAGCTGATATGTCGTGTGCAAGACACGACCCCTAGCTCAAGGTCACAGCAAGGGATGGAACTTTTGTGTTTTTCATATACATTGTAGAGTTTGTGTGAGAGCAGTAATTTCTGCATGCTTGATGGGGTTTTCAAAATAAATTGGTACACATGATCATCATAAGACGGCAGTGTTGTGTGCAAGACCTAATCCCTTGTTGAAAGGTCAAGGTCACAGTAAGGGAAAGAAAGCTTGTTGTTATGTAGTCTATGAAGAACTGTAAGATGCATCACACAATGGCATATGTCTGAAATAAAGACCATTTTGCCATGCCTAAGACCTACATTTGCACACTAAAGGTCAAGGTGATATTTAAGGTCAAAGTGTATGTGTGACAGCTTTCCTCTGTCTTTTAAGCTATATCTTATTATTCAAAAATAAATGTCAAAAATTTTGGAGAGTCTTCACCAGTTCGAGTGTTTTTACCCCCTGAGAATATATTATAATTTGGGAAAAAATGTCTTACGGAGGGTGTATCAAAATTGTATGGACACACCTATCATAAGTACAATGTAATGGCCAGTCACAATTAGGCAATTGACTAAAACATTTGGTACATCTTTGATGGAATAAATAAAGAAAGAACATACTTGAATGATCAAAAGTTGCTTAATTTTTATTTGTATAGCAAAGTTAACAACAATTAACAAAATTATCTACAATATCTTTATTCTTGAACAATAAAATGATAAATAAACAGAAAATAATTAAATAATAAGCACATCGTGAAATTTCATCAACATTATAATATAATTAAATGGCACACATCTTCAATAAAACTCAAAAAAAGTAAGTTGAATGCTGACATTAACGTTATAAAAATATTGAGTTGCTAAAACTAGCAATAGAAGGGTTAAATACCACTATTAGTTATAACTGCAGCTGACATACAGGGTTAAACACCACTATTTGTTATAACACAACTACAGGCTGATGTTGGCATAAAGGGTTAAACACCACTATTTGTTATAACAATAATAGGCTGCAGCTGGCATACAGGGTTAAACACCACTATTTCTTATAGCACAGTAATAGGCTTCAGCTGGCATAAAGGGTTAAATACCACTATTTGTTATAACAAATAATAGGCTGCAGCTGGCATAAAGGGTTAAATGCCACTATTTGTGATAGCACAGTAATATGCTTCAGCTGGCATAAAGGGTTAAATACCACTATTTGTTATAACAATAATTGGCTGCTATTGGCATAAAGGGTTAAACACCACTATTTGTGATATGATTATAGGCTTTAACTGACATAATAAAGAGTTAAACACCACTATTTGTAACTACAGGGACACTGCATTTGCTTCAAGCAATTGTAAATTTTACTGTGATAAAAGTAAGATTTTTTTTCTCTAAAGCAGCATGCCTCCAGATTCATGCCAATTTTCATCAAAAATTTGAAAACATATTTAAAAGTTAAATATTGTGAAGTGGACAAAGAAGAGAATTTACACATTACAAATAACACTATCCAGGTTAATTACCAAAAAGGTGTTAGTCATGCAGTAGCAATATTATGATAAATATTGCAAAATAAATCATTCATCACATATAACATGTAACTTACTAGTATTACTTGAATCATTTTACTTTTCTTAAAAACCTTGGTACATTTTTCTCAAGCTGGATTTTCCAAAAATATTGTTCACTCATCTTGCGGCATGCAGCTTTAAAATAATCAAATATCAATATGCCTAGAGCTGTCATTGATCAAAAAGATGTTTAGGCATTATTAATATTTAAAGAATAAATCTATTTATAGATTTGGTGGCTCTATGAATGTTGCCTGCAGTTGACTACTTTTTTGTTAGAATCTTCAAAAATCTTCAAAAATAATAACTTCAAAAGTGCATGAAGTAATTTTTCTTTTGAGCAAATAGCACATTCACTAAATCCATGCTATATTGTTAAAAACCTACTTCAAATAGCTGCATAACATTTTGTTTCAAAACATTTCATTTATATAACAAAAACAAATTTATATGTTTTAGAGAATCGACCATAAGATTTTGGAAACAACATAATTACACCATTTTCAAATTTTATAAAAATGTTTCCTAAGATATAGCTTATACCCTTTAATTTTAATTTGTGTGTTAAATTTCAATAATATTAGGTTTTAAGTCAAAGTTAATCTGTAAAAGTCATATCGAAGCTTTTTATCTTTACTGGTAGGGGAAAAACTTAGTCGCTCCTCAGTGCTTTTGTTTGTTTGTTTTGGGTTTTACTTCACATCGACACGGTATAGACATATCGCGACGTTCCAGCTTTACTGGTGGAGGAAGACCTAAGGTGCCCTTCCGTGCATTATTTCAGGCACGAACGGGCACCTGAGTAGAACCACAGACGTTCCGTAAGCTAGCTGGATAGCTTCCTCACATGAAAGAATCCAAAGTCCCTGTCGGGATTCAAACCCAAAGCGGTGAGAGACAAGTGGTTTGAAGTCAACGACCTTAACCACTCGGCCACAGACGCCCCGCTCCTCCGTGCATTTCTAATATAATGGAACAACAAACATGTAGCTGTGTATTAAAACATTAATGTTCACACGAAAAAACAAAACTTATTCATAATAATAAGTGCTTGCAAAAAATAAGTTGCTTTTAATATAAATATACATGTATTATATATAAATCTATATAAAATTTTGATATATGATATGACATAAAATTACATCAACAAATCCTCAATCCAAAAGGGAACCAACTAACTAATGATAGAATCTGCATGTATGTCACACCCCTATTAAACTGTGGCTCTTTCACATTTTGGTGATCTGTTTAAATGATAGCACTCAACACTTCTGTTGTAGAGCCCTCCACCAGAACAAAGTTGAAAAAGATAACACTGTTCCTAAAAATATATATTTTTTCAAGAATTTGCTCGTTTTTCAAAAAATCGAAGTATACTATGCCAAATTTTTATTATCATTCTGAGGGCTGTCATTGTGAAAGAGCCAGTCTGTTTAGTACGAGGTGTGTTAGGCAGTACGGAATCTGCCTAGAGGTGGTCTTTTAAAACTTGTGTGAAGTTTGGAAGCATGTTGTGCTGTTGTTTTTGTGATATAACTGCCAGCTATAGGTGTAATTTGGTTAATACTATCTCTGTTATTGCTTATAGACAGTCCAAAAGCATCTAAATGTTTATTTCTCAGAAATATTTGTGATGTGGAAAAGTAATAGGGAGGGAAGGATTGGGTAGGTTTGGCAAATTGTGGTTGGGAGGATTAGGTCACGGTAAACTGGTATATGTGTGTCCTTGACCCTTGACCTTTAGCATTAATTACTTATCCAGCTTGCATTTTTGGTTATTTCCATGATCAATTTTAGAGATACTGAGATGAAAATTTGGACCTGGTCGGACTTCACAGATGCAGGCTTAGCCCTATAATGGTGACAAAGGTCAGATCACTTGGGGTTCAAGCAGCGTAAAGAGCCGACAAATATAAGGGTAAGTGTAGAAAAATCACTTTGGGTTCAATATTAACAGTGTAATGAGCCAACAAATATTAGGGTAGCTGAAGTCGGTATAAATCTACCAATATAAATTATTAACAAAATTAATGCACCTTTAAAATTCTTCAGAAAAAAAATATAGGACATATACGACATACTAATTTCTGTCCTGGAAATGGGATTACAGGTACATTTACTAATATAATAATTATTATAATAAAGATTTGAGCACCTTTAATATTAAACTGTTCATAAAGGAGACCCACTGAGGTCCATTAGCCTAAAATCTTAAACAATTAATTATTTTATATTCAACTCGGATTATTAAAACAAAAAATATGCAAAAGATAAAGAAAAATACTCAGAATTAAGTTAAAACTCAATTGTTTCTATGTGTGAATCTTGGCCCCATTTAAAGTAAAAATCATTTCAATACTTTTAATTTTCTAGTAAATGATTATTCTGGAAAAAAACAGAGTGAGTGAATGATCGGAAATTCTGAAAACAAAGTATTGGTCAAGACAAGGTACAAAATTCTGATATCTTTACTTCCATCAGGTCAACAACAAAAAATCTCAGTGAAGTCCCTTTAATAATTATACTACAAAAAATTAGAAATGAGCAAACTGTTCGCTTACATTTGTATAATATATGATGAACTGCTTTAATGATATGTCAAAAAATATATGGACCAAAGCTATAAGTATAATCCAGTGTTTGCTCTATGTCAAAAATTTTGGTGGTCATATTTGACCCTTTTGTTCAAAATTTGAGGAACAATTACAAACTTCAGAGTTTGAACATTAAAAACACATGTTGAAAATATGGTGTAAAATATATTAAAGATATAAATAGATATATAATAGTTAGTCCAAACCAATGGCAATTAAAATGACTTTTTTTCTAGGTTTTTTTGTGTAAAATATGGCTTTTTGAAAATAATTTTAACAACATATTTCTATCCTATTACAAGCTAAGTCAAGATAATATTGGCACATTACATTTTATATTAATTTTGATGATTGCATATACCTAAGAGTAGCTGAAAGCACAATTGTGAATTCACATGACATTACATTTTGAACACTGTCAAAAATTTCCATTAAGCATGAATTTGGAAGCGTGCTCCTATTAAAAACTTAATCAAGAGAAGAAAATTTGATCTTAATTCTTAACATTGCAACAATTTTGAAATAGATATCCCACTTCTTTTTGAGACAAAAAGTTTTTTTAAGTTTTACAGAATTTCTTTCAGTTTGATTGTGTAGAAAGCTGTAAGAATTAACTCATACTGTTGAATACTTCCTTAGAACCAGTTAGTACTAAACAATGCATGTTATGTTTCTTGTTCAAGGAAATACAATGACTTGTCTCTCACAGAGGTTTAAACCCATGCAGCCAGCAATCCTTTGAATCTGATCACTAGTTTCATATGCCAACAACCCTTGCCATGTGGTCAAAAAAGCTTACATACTGGTACCTAGCGTTAGGGTTAGAGTGATATAAATAAGTTGCCAAATTGTCTGAAAAAGCTACTTATCTCAGCCATTACCAGTAATTTACACTAAGATATACACTAAGATCAAAGCCTGTCACAATTTTTTAGAATATGCTAGCAAAGCAAGATTTTATTTAAAACACATTCAAGGCAGATGGCGGGCTATACATGACATTAATAGCACTAAAAGTCTTACGAACTATCACCAAAATGGAATTGGCAAGCTTATGATCTTTTTTATTTCTACCACCTTTAATGAAAATCAGTATTTCTTCATTTTATTTTCTTATAACTTGAAACCATACCAGCAGTTTTTGTTGTTGAAAATCTAAGATCACAAAATGTACTATAAACTGCTATCGTACATTCAAATTCTCAGGAAAAAAATATTATATAAAATAAATCTACAACCATTTTTTTCAATATTCTATCACAATTAGTATATATAATTCTATACTGTTTAAACCGTTTAACACTTCTTTTGTATTGTTGTTTAATTTTTTTTTCGGAATATATCTGAAGCAAGTATCACTGTCACTGACTAGCTGATTAGTTAAACATAAAATACTGAGTCCAATCCTTCATTTAGCATTTTTGCTAAGTCTGTCCCTTTTCCATTACAGCCTCTTCATTTTCAGTTTTATCAACCAGTTTAACATCATCAACTATCATGGCTTCCACTTTATCTTCTCCTGCATCTACCTTACCTTCTGTTACACCTTCCATTTCCTCGCATTCTTCAACCATCTTACTAACTACTGCTTCAACACACATTTCATCTTTCTTAGAAGAAGCATCATCTTTCGATTTCTTTGCATCAATTTCTTTTATTCCATCACCACTTGTAACATCACCTTTTGAAACTATTCCAACTTCAGAATTGTCCTTTGCACTAGTTTCATCTTTATTTACTGGTTCACTTTTGGAAGTGACAATTTTTGTATTTTTAACAATTTCTTTTTTATCACTATCAACTTCTACATCCATGTCTTTTTCAACATCTGGATGATGTTTATCAAAATCTTCATTCTCTTTAGCATCACTAACCTTGTCACTAACATTGTTATCTGGATTTGAATCTACTAGTCTAGCATCACCATCAATCACTTCTTTATCACCATCCTTTCCATCAACTCTATGGTCCCCGCTCATCTCTTGACTTTCCATAACAGCTATAGAGTCTTTGGGAACACTTGAAGCCTTGTTTTTATCAATATTTGCCACTTGCTGAGGATTTTTAACACTACCCACATCAGTCAAATTATCTTTAAGTTCTGCAGACTTTTGTTCTGCACTTTTTTCGGACTTAGTATCACTTTTTACAGATTCTGCTGTTGTTTCTTTATCTTTCCCTACTTTATAGTCTGTTCTTTTATTAGTTTGGTCAGTAATTCCAGATCCATCATCCTGTAATAAAAACAACCTACATGAAAATTATCCCCAATCCTTACACATCAAATAATTAAACTTTTAAATATGGTCGTTTTATTTTTCTTATTTTAAAATCTTTATTTTTTACATGATAAATTACAATAATAACCAGTAATACAATCAAAAGAAATGTGTTTCTCTAAAAACCTGGACGTATACTAACAGTTTAATTCATTATCATTGACTAAAAGAATATTAATTTTCTTAAAAAGAAATTTTGGATTCAAAATGATGTTAGAAAACAAGAGCTGTGGGTAGGATAGCATGCTGGACTATTATCAATGCTTGATAGTAAAACAAGAGCCCAGTCAAGGCATGCCAATATTCGTGCCCGAAATTCATGACAAATTCGTGACAGCCCTATCATTTATGCTAAATAAATTTGAATTTGCATCATGTTCATAAAATTTGTGAGCCAGACATTTACAGATACAAATAAATTCTATTTCTAGCAGGTGACCTTGACCTTCGACCTAAGGTCTGATCAGATGGATGTGCATGCTAGCCTGACTTTACACTGATAGCCAAGACAAGTCCCTATAGTCACCAAATATCAATATACTAGTACCTTATCAACATCATCTGACGCCAATGTTTTCTCAATATGCTCGGCCAGTGCTCGAAACATTTCAAGGTTTGTATTATCGGAGTTTGAAGCACTCTGGTCGATGACACTGTACCCAGGTCCAAGTCTCTGGTACGATACACCAGAAGATTCCGCTAATAAAATAATAAAGACATATTTACATTGTCACCATTATTTAAGTTTGAAATAACTTATTGTTATACATTTAATTTGGACAGTAGTTTATTATCACCTCTATAGATGGTATAATTGGAGCTATAATATCAAATTTTGCACAGTATGTTGTTTAGAGTGTATGAAGCTATATAAAATATATTTTTATTTTAATCAATGGTTGAATTTCAGAAAGGAATACTTCTAAAATGCCTGTATGAAATAAATATATAAGTATGTTTCCTCAATAGCAAATGACACATGCACAAAATCATTGCTAATCATTGTTTAAGACCTTTAAGACCTGCTGTTAAAATAACAGCAGAATATTTTGTTCCGGAACATTTTATTCAGTTTACCTTCTTTATTCATGTGTGTTAAATAACAGAAACATTTCTATACTAAAATTCTTGTGAGAAACAACCGGGATATTATGGAAACAATATAATATCACTGCAAATAAATGTTAAATACTTCATTAGCTATAGCTTTTTATCACATAAACCGCAGCGGAGGGGTGTAATAAAGCCATTTAATAACTAGAACTCCGCGAGTCGGATGTGTCGCCTTATGAACAATGTAGTTTAGGGGAAATGGCCAGGACAAAAATGAAATATGAAAAATGCCAGGACAAAAATGAAATATGAAAAATAACAAAGGGCAATAACTAAAAAATTAATAAGTGCAGAGCAGCAGTTTCTGTAAACTGCACTTCTTATCAATAAGATCTATCATTCTATGATGTTTCAAGTCCATAGCTTTCATACTTGAGGAAAAATGACCAGGACAAAAATAAAGTAAGAAAAGCAACAAAGGGCAATAACTCAAAAATAAGAAATGCTGAGTATCAGTTCTTATGCACTGCACTTCTTTTTAATGAGATCTATCATCCTATGAAGTTTCAAGTCCATAATTTTTATACTTTCAGAGAAATGGCCTGGACAAAAATTAAGTATGAAAATAAACAAAGGGCAATAACTCAAAAAATAAGAAATGCAGAGTACCAGTTCTTGTGCACTGCACTTCTTCTTAATGAGACCTATCATCCAATGAAGTTTCAAGTCCATGGCTTTTATACATTAGGAGAAATGGATCGGACAAAAATAAAGTATGAAAATTAACAAAGGGCAATAACTCAAAAATTAGGAAGTGCAGAGTACTGGTTCTTGTGCCCTGCATTTCTTCTTAATGAGATCTATCATCCTATGAAGTTTCAAGTCCATAGCTTTTTTAGTTGAAGAGAAATGGCCCGGACAAAATTAAAGTGTGAAAATTAACAAAGGGCAATAACTCAAAAAATAAGAACTGCAGAGTACCGGTCCTTGTGCACTGCACTTCGGGTTATTGAAAGAAGCATGCATACCAAGTTTGAAGTCAATCAGACTTATAGTGACTGAGTTATGCTCCGGACAAGCTTTAGCGGACGCCGACAACGACAACGACGCCGACACAGACGCCGCCGCCGACACCGTCGACAAAAGTAACCCCTATATGTCACCTTTTTAAGGCGACACAAAAACGATACTACACTCATTTAATATCCTCTATAAACACTTTAACCCATTACTTCATGAGCATTTTGTGAAAAATGGCTGTTTTCATTGAAAAGTCTCCTGTTACAAGTTCAAATTGCAAAACTGCTTCAACACTAATCAAACTTGACACAAGTGTTGACTGGACCATTACCCTTGCAACAACATGCTCAGGCTTAAATTTTCTGTTACCATGGCAACGAGGGGACATCTCAAAATTGCCAAAAATCACTATTTTGCGTTGATTTTTTCCATCGAAATAGATTTCAAAGTGCTGCAACTTCTCAATGGATTGAGATAGAGTCAAATGCTTTTCAGCGTTGGTTACACTTTACCTTATGATCAATCTGGGGTCATTTACAGCCTCTCACAAGTTCTTGGCGATGAGGGGGACTCCGCCCCCCTTCAAACCCCCCAAACAGAAGGGGGCACATCCCCCTTCTGGCAACCCCCTGATGTATCTTTTGGTTGGGGGGCCGCGCCGAAAAAGAGGTCACTTTTTTGACAACATTTCTCAAACAAAAACAAGTGTTTGGGGCCTAAATAAGGCATTTTTTCATCATTTGAGACAACAAAAAAGGGGGGGGGTGAAAAAAGCCTTAAAAGGCGTGTATATGAAGTAATGGGTTAACATCAAATACAAACTACCAAATATTACTTAAGAGAGACACCATGCTCAGTTTCAGGTATAATTTCAGGTTCAACTGGGCATATTTGTTCACTTTCAATGTCCCTTGTTAGATGGAATGAAATTATCTTGACTGATTCTTGACAGAATACCAAGGTTTGATCATAAAACTGCAGAAATTTATATGAAACAGAGAGGGACTTACGACAGTTTTGCAAAAACCCTCAATTTTGGGTTATAAGCACAGTTATACCTTCCTCATGCTTCCTTCTGATAGCTTTATATAAAATACCTTTATTTTTGCCAAGCAAAGGTTCACTCACTACATCTCAATGACAATTTTTTTACATGTTGAGTTGAACAAAATATTAATGAAATCTTATTTGAAGAGTCATTATATTACATGAGATGATGGTGATAATTTACTATATTCACTATTATATTAACCTGTACCTGTATCCTCCGTCTGCATCTCATCAGGTTCCTCTGATATCGAGTCACGATGAGTTCGAGACCCTGGTGGACTACACAAGTCGTGTATACCTCTAGCCCCGGGATGATGGTTGGCACAGGCTAAATCCACTGGCATACGCTCGTCAAACATCATTGTCGACTTCAAGGAATGACCTTGACCTATTAAAATAAATAAAATGAGCCGCTTCATGACAAAACCAACATAGTGCGTTTGCGACCAGCATGGATTCAGACCAGTCTGCGCATCCGCGCAGTCTGATCAGGATCCATGCTGTTCGCTATCAGTTTCCCTACCAGACCTGGGGTAATCACTAATCGTAATCATCGATTTTTTAATTGATTACATGATTACAGTGTAATCATCATGTAATTGATTACCTTGCTCAAAATTGATTACATTAATTGTAATTAATCAATTACAGCTTAAATTCAGTCTGTAATTATGATTGCAATTTGATTGATGTTGATTACTTTCAGATTTTACATGAAACTATTGAAATTAAAATGATTTATTTCACATGTTACAGTTTAACTAAGGTAGTAAAATATCAAGTGAGACATTTTAAGACATCACTCACAATGAAGAAATAAGTTTTAATCCATACAGTTAACCAAATTCTAACTGAAAGATAGACATCATTGTTTGGCTGGTATTGTAACCAAAATGTCAAATCATTGGATTTATGATGTCTTTGAATTTCTTAAAGAAACATCTGGAAATGTGACAGCACAGTGCAAATTGTGCCCTAAGAAGATAGATGGAAACACTAAGTCACATTCAAATTTCATTACCCACATAAAGGTATGTTAAATTTTGTTTCACATATTTTGGTTAAACCATGTTTTAAAAAGTTTCAAACAATGTAGATAACTTCTTTACTTTGTATATTCTAGAGTTTATGTCAGATGCATATTACCATATTTTAATTATATGCAACAGTTTTTTTTGTAAGGTTATAGACAATGTGTCTGTATTATAATGGATACTGTTGTACCATTGAAGTGTTTGTAAAAAAACTGATAATTTCTTTGTAAAGTCTATTGTCTCTTTGAATTCCCATATAAAAATTTATTGTTTTCACACCTGTTTTAACACCTGTATACAGTATACTGTACAATTGACACTTTTAAAAATTTCTGTTGCAGAGAGTTCATTATGAAACCTACACCAAGAAGACTGAGGATCATTCCTGCATCATTGGCCCCTGTAGAGCGTTTGTTTAGTGTTGCGGGTAAAATTTTCCGTCTTGATAGATGCAGTCTGACTGATAGACGGTTTCATGAACTTATGATGCTAAAGTGCAATGCTAAAATATGATAAAGTGATGTGACAGTAACTAAAAGTGTGTTAAAATGATGATTGTTGATTAGCTGGAAATCCTTTGTGTATATAATGTATATATCAAATAGCATTAAGAAACTTTTGTTTATAGTTATACATGGAATGTAATCAATTATCAATCAATTACTTTCTCAAAGTAATTGTAATTTAATTGATTACAGAGGCAAGTCTGAGTAATCAATTGTAATCAATTACAATAAAATCTGAAAGTAATTGTAATTAAATCAATTACTGATCAATGTAATCATCCCCAGGTCTGTTCCCTACTTGTAAAAGGGTTTGTAAGCGAACAGCATGGATCCTGATCAGACTGCGCGGATATAGATACAATGTTTATGTAAATCACAATAAATTGCGTTCATATAATAACACATGTTAAGTTTCAAACAAAAAAGCTTCTCACCTAGAAAAGCAGGTCTTTCTGTACCATGGTGAATTGCTCCACTGGCCCCAAACTTCACCTCCGTATCTTCCTTGGACCCTTCCATCCCAGCAGCCTTCACTTTCTCTTCTATACGTGGCTCAACCGGAAAATGACCATACGGTTCAAGACACAACTCCAGTCTGTCTTCATTAGCATTGTACCGAAATACCTTAACAATTCAAGAAATAATTCTAGGGTTGCCTTTATTTTTTTTAAAGTTTTTTACGGTAACACCCATACTGTAAATGCAATATTTTTAAAGATCCTGTAACTCAAATATTTTTATCTTTTTATATCATAAATATGATGTTCAAAATTAATGAAGATTCATCAATATTATAAGTTCCAAAAAGCATTATTTGTAAAGATATTACAGAATTTACATTTCATGTAAATAAAGGGCGGTTATTAGAAATTTATTTTCAATTAAAGGGATATTCAGGCAAAATAATGACAAAAATATTAAAAAGATCTTATGTACTCAAAATAGCTAACATGACATTTCTTGAAGTTTCAGCATGAATTTCTGTTTAAATTCTAAATATTTTGGGTTTGAAGCGTAAATATATCTATATATGTTGAACAAAATTTAGACCATAGAATCACCAAATAGTTTTAAAACAAGTCACATTGCTTGAACAAACCCTTGAAAGTACAATAACAGATATATTGGATATTGTATGATTGAAACAAGTCTAAGTAATTCATATGACATGTTCTTTAACGTTTCCAGAGTAACTATTGTGAAATCCTAGCGCTCTAACCTGACCCACGCAGGTCAAGTTAGGAAACCACCATTTTATTCTTTATATGGAGAAAAGTTTTGTTCCTTTGACTGTCAAATATACTCATTGTGAAGGCATAAACAGAATAATGACTGAAAAACTAAAAACTAAGAAATGAAAATCTTGCCTGTGTCTCCCTTTAAGTCTAAGCCAAATTTTTAGATATTAAATGAATGCATACATTTAAATGATTACTTATAATGCCTATAAACATTTGCAGTACATATTTAACATATTCTTGGATGTTTGGAAATTGTTTAAGAAGAATAATTATATACATATATAAAAGTTTACTTAAGTGTTGTTACATCCTTATTTACAGCATACAAGATCTTTAAGCATTTACTATGGGGAATAATACCCAAATTTCCTTACATGCCTTATTTTAGGCAAAGACAGACTCCTTGAGTGAACCCTCAAGTTTCTTCTTATCAATAATCAATATAAGAGTATATTCATACATAAGACTTATAAATATCTGGAACCTCTAACAGTTTTCTTCACTCAAACTCTTAAGTTGGAAGCACCTGATCAGGTGGCCAAAATTTCCCCTTTTTTCCTAATATAGAAAATTTTCAATAGGAATTATTTTAGAAATTTCAACTTTCCCTTTTGCTGAAACAATCTTTCAGTTAATATTTTCACTTTTTACAACAGAGACATTAAATGAAGGCCTATATCCTTATCAAAATTGTCTTTAGAATCATGTAGATTTCCTAAAAATACAAACTAACACCAGCTTACAATCAGCAATTTTTAGCAATAATCCTTCAAAATCAAGAGACTAAGACCTCCTCCCAAGAGAGATTTTTTCAAGAATGGTGTAGAGTACAACTTCTATAGGGTGGCGCATGAAAACTTAAGATAATATCATTACTAAAAGTCAAATTTTGGAAACAGAAAAACACCTCTTCAGGTTAGATGGTATATCACAATGTTATACATACCTTGCCAGGTAAAGCCTGTAACTGACAGTGTTTACCATCTACAAGTCCTAGGTCTCTCTTAACTTGGTTATAGAGGAGACCCCCAACAGAGAACAGGTGAGGCATGCCTTGTACATATGTCCATAAATCTTTCCCTTGGACTGCACTAAGTATGCCAAGGGAGGCAATCGATGTATCAATATTATCTCCCCCTATAATCAAAATATACTCATAAATATGTATATAAATCATAAATTTTAGTGTTAGAAACGGGAAACAACGTATTAGCATGAACAGAACATTTATTTTACTGAAATCATTTAAACAGGTATGAAAAAGAATTATATACACAAAAATAAGAGTATTTATCAATATATATCGGTGTTCCACCGATATTTGTCAACCGATATCAATGTATCGTCAATATGCTTTGCACTGAATTAATGACAGCTCTACAGGAAGGGGACATAAGGTTGTAAAAATGTCAGGAAAGGGAGATAATCTTGTAAAATGTCGGGCAAGGGAGATAATGCATGAAAAGCATGTACAATCAGGTTGTCTCACCATGTTGAACGTCTTTGAGAGCTTGTAAAAGTTTATCTGCAGTCTGACTTTGGGCGTCCTCCTCAAAACTACTCCATGATGATGTCATCTTACTTGAATGGGCATGCATTGTCTCTATTGAAAAAAAAGATAAAATCCCAATAATTCAACATTCAAATACTGAATTACAATTGTTTAAAGAAATTATCAATCGGACAATAATAATGATAATAATATTACTAATAATATGGCAAACTGTATAATTGCTAATGTTTTGATTCCAATTTGCAAAAATATCTTAAATTTTGTCTAAAGCGCTTTGATATTTTTGTTAAAGATCTATTAAAAGGTAAAAAGGCAAATCAGAAAACCAGAGCATCACATGCCGTGTTAATGCTCGTCTGTTTAAAAATTCAAAGTTACAAGGGGCATAACTCCAAAAATATTGCTCTCAGAATTATGCTCCTTGTCTAACAAGTGCACTTTGCCATGTTAAGCAAGTATTCCAAGTTTCATATTATTCACCTTTTAAAAATTTGACTACATTTAAGTTTTCTTGACAACAATGATAACACCCCCATTGTGATCATAATAGCACAACTTTTTCTTCAAAACACCACAAAAAGCTGCATTTTTTATGGTGGATATAAACATACATTTAAAGAAAAACACCATCCTCTTAGCATATAATTCAGATGCAAAGAGGAATTAAATAAAGAAGGTAGTCCATTATTATAATTTAACTGTATATTTGACAATTTACAAAGTCTTACTCTCAATCAAAGATGTGGCAGCATGGCCGAATGGAGAGTGGCGGCATAGCTAAGAAGTCAAAATGTTGAAGAAGTAATCTAAGAATTGCTGGCAGTGTTGATTAAAGCCCAGACACAGGCAAACACTTATTGCTTAGTACTGTTTGGTTCCATAACAAATTCAATAGACTAATAATAGCGTCCAAAACAATCCAATTAAAATAGATTTATGTAAACTAATCAAAATATGTTTTATTATGAAAAACATTGATACAAAAAACCAAATGTTTACCTTGAACCGGAAAGTTTGGCTGGCTCAAATCTGGTAAGATTTCTAGAGCAATTTTATCTCCATGTCGTAAGGGAACTATTTTTTCTTCCTCCCCAGCTGGAGTGGCTTCTAGTAATTTTGGCGGGAAACCAACTCGTAACTTCTGCCTGTCTGACGGGACATCGACAGTTTGGAAAACTAGTTTCTGCAACTCAGCGTATGTTACATCCTTGACCAGGGTTAGCATAACCTTAATTACAAAGATGTATTATTTGTTTGTTATTTCGATTTCTTTTTTTCTGTTTGGGTTTTAGATCATACCAACACTATTAGGGTCATATGTCAACATTCCAGCCTTTTTTGACAGGGGACAGACTCCATGTTTTCTCTACTTGCATTATTTCAACCAGCCTCAACAAGGCACAGACTCAATTTTTACTATTATATAAATCTATTAGTAAACATTGTAACTGAACAACAACTAATTCTTCTTCACGGACTAACATATTTTAATCAACTAGAGTCAGTATTTGAGGTACAATAGTACAAAATCATATAAAATGTCATCCCCTTATAATTATTGTCACCTTAGCGCAGTAACAGCTTAACTGCTATAAAATAATATAAGGAGTCAACCCCATTCTGCACTAACGATACGATAAAATCATAATCCTACTAAATCCTATGTTATGACTGTAACCTATCTTCTATTATTGGAAAACAAAAGATAAAACACTCTTTCCATCATCAGGGGTTCCATTGGCCATGGAATCCCGAAGGTCTTTTTGACTAATATGGGCTAAGTTTTACTGACTACAAGGCCAAAGCCCCATGATTTTAACAAAACTTGACCCTCCAGATAAAATCCTGAGGGTCAAATCAGGCCTTTAGGAAATTTTAAGGGTCAAGAGTCATTTCAAAGGTCAAATGGACACCCTGCATCATGTTATTCAAAAGAACCTACCTGTCGCCCATCTGATGTTTGGAGGCGAATTTTTTTCTCGCCGGCTACAGGTTGAACTATTGCCGACTGTGACATCACTGAAGAACCCTGTACAGCTGGCGTCTGCGATGAACTACACGTGGGTAGTTTACTCTTACTAGGTGACTCTTTTGACTGGAAATGATCGGCAATTATTAAACATAGAGTCACATTACCTTTCTCTAGGCGTAAGCCTGCTAAATTAGTGAAACAGTTTCTGATAAGCTTGGAATTTGGAACTGTTAATTAAAAGTGACATTATTCCCCTCTTACGTATAAAGTGTGTGACAAATGAGTCAAAATAAGTTTCATTTTTCCATAATTCCTTTCAATTTGATAATTTACTTCAAACAATAAATCGCTCATGTGGACCAAGGAAATTTCTGAAAAATACTTTTCAGAATTTACCTGAAATGTTCAGTTTATAAAATGATTGGGACAGTTTTTTTTTCCATATTTTAAGCAGATTTATATTTGATCATAAATATTTTCCAATATCACCTGATGGTCAAACACCATTTTAACAATCTTTTAAAATATACGGTCAATTCAGCTCAACTTGGACAATGGAAAAATGATCATAAATTCACAGACGTGTAGGCTGGCCTGGGTCTATACTCGCTACAAAAGCAAATCACTTTCGCTTCCTGCAGGTCAACAGTTCAAGCCTTAAAATATTCCATTGAAAAAAGTGTGCACTTCACAAAACATACTCAAAATTGATTAAATTTAACACAAAGCTTATCCTAAATCTTACAGAAATATTCAGACTTGATCTGTACACCTGTCCAGTTCAGACAACAACTTTAGCCAGTTTCAGCTCATATCAAAACTTTAAAGGTCACATGGCATCTTTCCAGTTTTACTGATGGAGGAAGATCAGAAAATAAGACATTTAGCCTGCCTGTCTGTTATATAAGGCATAAGAAAACTATCAACCTTTTGTACATTTGCCCCATTATACCTCTGCAACATATCCCCTTTTCTTCACTACCCATTACTGTCAATTCACTAAATTTCATTTGCACTAATTTTGTGGTTGTGTGAAAAGGGTCATTTGTGATTAAATTTGTAGACTGGCTATTTTTGTAAAATGTAAAATGCAATCTAATCTAATGTAAAGCAATATTATCTTAAAGCAGACTGAATGAAATTTTGTTCCATCTTAAAGTTGTGGATAGACCTATCAATAAAAACCATGGAAATTATGGCCATGCCTGCCAATCATAATGATTTTGAAGTATTCATGAAAGTCCACCAATAGTTATACTTACTCTAGGACTGTGCGGCTGTTTCTGTGACTCGAGTGCTGTAGTTTTTCTGTGCTGGGTCAGTGGTGCTTTAGTCTGAATATTCTTCCTCACTTGTTTTTCTTTTTCACTTTTCATCAGTTCTTCTTTGTGTATTGTTTTCTTCTACAGATATATACAGAAAAATTAATTCAATTGTTCTTTTAACATAACCAAATACAGTGGAACCTGTTCAAAAGGCCACAAATTTAAATATTTGTCCTAGAGATAATTATTTTGTTGGGGAATTCAACATTTTTGCAATGGTCTTAAGCGAGTCAATAAAGGGAAAAAACAAAAATCAAAGCAAAACTCCTAAGCTGAAAATTGGGCATAATTTTTATCAAAATCCATGACAGAGTGATATCCATTTAGGAATTTTTACCAAAGGGTGTACCTACAAAACATGATCATTTAGATATATTTTGATGTATTTTTTTCTAAATACCCTCAGTAGTTTGTATGTTTCATTTTACGCCTTTTCACAACAGTATTTCAATCATATAGGCGGGTAGTTTCCTAACCATCGTTCCTGGAGAGTTACACCAATACTAGACTACCTTCCTCCATGCTAAACTACCAAAGTATCTCCTGGGGATCGAACCCAGGCCAGAGAAGTAACTGGATTAGAAGTCATAGACTCTAACCCTTCGTCCACGGAGGCGGTCCCCTCAGTAGTTAATGAGGGAAGAAAATATAAAGACTTCATTAAAAACTGTTACCAAAAATAATAACCAAAATAATTTTTTCAAATAGTGAATCTAATATTGTGCTCTTGCAAACTTGAATCTAGCAGTCAATCAAATTTCATGTTACATAAGCATTTTCATTCACCTTTTGACCTGTAAGAATGATTTTAGAAGCTGTGTCAGCTGACCAGGCATCAATGGGTTCTACAGCCATCCCTTCCTCTTTGATCTTCTCAGCCG